TTTTGTGGCTCATCTCTCCATGCCCGGACACACTTCCTCCCTGGTCACCCCCAGTCCTCTTTCTTTTTTAATGTCTTTCGTCTATCAGACACACATGTACTTTGCACTGATCAAGCTAGGCTCACAATGTCGCATGTGCCCGTCTCGCCGTGCCGCGTCGCGTCTTACCACGAAAATAGAAACGGATTCTATCCCCGCGACGTGGCAACACGGCACGACGCGGCAACACGGCATGACGGGGCAACACGGCACGACGCGGCAACATGGCGCGACGCGGTAATGCGACATATTGTGAACCTACACCTGAAACTTACAGGTTGACGCCCTGTGCAGCCCCTAGCACCAATCAGGGCAATTTCGCTTGGTCCCAAAGTGTCACCATTGAGGGGTGTATACCTTTCATGCATACCACAAATGCTACGGGGAAAAGAGTGTACCTCCAGGAAGGTAGGGTCTAAACGCAACACTACACAGAAGCTAACTGCAGGTAATGACACCTCCAAGAGTTGCAAAAGGAGATATAAGGAATATGATGCTGACCACGGTCTCATACACCTCCAGATAATGAGCATGGTCCATAGATAAACAATGTGCAAGGAATAATAATACTCAGGTGGCAGCAATAGTACTAGGGCCATTGACCACAGAAGAGTAATAAAGTCTGGTTTGTTATTGAAATCTGATAAACTCTAAACCAATAGTACTAACTGAGGACAGAGTTCACTAGAGTACCCTCTGCTGCCATGGTTATGATAGACTTCTCAACAAGTCAGCATATGGGCTTGCAATGTGATACCTTACAATACTATGTGAACCTGGACATTGTGTGGCATGGAGAAGGAAGAGGAGCCAGACTAAGACCAGCTCAGCTCCAACCTCAATTACATCATCTACACACAAACACCCAGCAAATTACAGCAGGGACATGTTCCATGTTGGCCTCTAGTCCAACAAGCAGAACACCAGCACAACTGTTGAGTGGTGTCTTCACCTTTCAATTTTTAGACTGGGTTCATAAACTGATAGGCCTCGGGCCCATACGTAGCATCCTTGCTGCACTCGGAACGCTACATCCCAGGATTCCACGGACTCGGTGCCAGAAACAAGATTGCAGCTCTTGCCAACTATTGCAGAGCTGTTCGACCCCATGAGCACGGAAGTGTTTCGAACAAACTTTGAGTTTCAACCCTAGTGGAGTGTGGTGGTGAGGTGGAGAATGTGTGGAGAAGTGCAGGAGCAATTTGATGGGGTGGGTAAGCACATCTGCCATCATAGACGCTGTGTAAGTATACACTAGGGACGTAGCTGCAGCTCTTTATTACAGAGCGAGTATTTGCAGGCAGTCTACCTCTCGAAAGAGATGAGCTGCCACGGTCGTCATCTATCATGTCTCTGACCTACCCTGGGTTCTGTCACTATTCTCTGTACAAGGAACGCCTCACACCAGATTCAGTTACGTGGACGTAGTAGGATTTAACGACAAAAAACAGATAAATTTCTTGCACTAGCTCTGGCCAACAACACAAACCCAGTTTCTGCTACTGGGAACAAGACAGTCATTCCGAGATAAATTTTTCTTGATAGGTATAGTGACAATACAGGAGGATAAATGTGGTTCTTTGCTTGGCTCAGACGCAACGCCCTTTTGGGGGCGGGGCCGCTCAGGTGCACCGCTCTAGAGAGAGAGAGAGAGAGAGAGAGAGAGCAGGCACTAGTCTACTGGGCCACCGTAAGAGTTGCGCCAAGCTGGTGCCTGTGCCCTTCTCCTCCACCGCGACGATATGCTGAGCGGGGAGCCGTCCTAGATTGGCATGACGACTCAAACCAGGACTCCTCCATGGTGGCCCACCGTAGCTCAATTCCGTCTTCTCTTCACTCCCCTCTCACTGCGAGGACTCACCGACCAGTGCGACAGAAGCCTCTCTATCCTGGCCTTGTTAAAAGGTTTTATTTTGGATGTTTGGGAGCTAAGAAAGGTTAGGTTATATGGCAATAATCCCAGCGTACAACAGACCTGGGGAGCTGCAGGGTGTCGCTGGTTGAAGGGGGAGTGAGTTGAGGTACACCTCATGTTTTCGTTTGTTAACGGTTCTGCCCATTGCTCTGGGTGCGTGGTCTATGGTCCTAGTGCTATGGCAGCTACCTGAGTATATTAGTGACCACACTGATTAACAGCTGCTAAACCTTTTATGCACACGTAATCCCACCTGAAAGTTTTTGCATAGCAAAAGATTTTCCACCTGTGACAAACCAAAATTGCCATGTTTCTTAGATTGCTCGGTATGATGAACGAACGTACGTATGTATGCATACTGTGCAATACCTCAACAACAACAAACAAACACACGTTTGCTGACTGTCGACTCCTTGGACCAATAAGATTAATGTAGGATGTTAGGATGTAGGATATCAAAATTTATAATTTCAATCGCGGTCGAGATTGTCAGGTATATACTCAAGTCTCTGGTATAATGGTGTGCCCTTGCAACACTGATGACTTATATGTATGTGACCCTGAACACTTAATCTGTGTAGACAGAGAGGGGGGGACGGGGAGGAGCTTTCAGGTGTATATATACACTTCAACATGTGCCATACTTGGATGGCAAAACGTCTCATTTCGTGTAACCTTTTTCACACCTGTCGTTATGTCGTAACACAACACCATATTCATCACTTTTCCCCAGCAACAAAAGTGTCTGGTGTCTGTAGAAATCAGGGTATATATACTCAGAGGAAGCGGAAAACAACAAATCGCCCAAAAAAACAGTTCCTGGTCCCTACAGACAGTTTTATCAGATTTGAGAAGGGCAAAGAATTTTTTTTTCACGTCCTGAATTTTTCCAGGGAGAGGTAAATTTTTAAACAGGGAATCCTCTGCGTCCCTCCCCCACCTGAAAAAAATTCTGACTCGAAATATTGTTATAGTCATAAATCACTCACAATTAAAGTTGCAGCTTCGTGGGGGGCTCTATCTTGTTATGATAACACAGGAACCTGCCCCATAGCATGTGATGTAGAATGGCATCATAGAAAAATCAGTGAGGCCCATGTGACCTTTACTAGGGGGTGGGACCAACTGCCACTACAAAGGTAGCTTTTGTATAAATGTGTGCATATGGCCTCTTCTTATCTGCAACCTGTGTAAACTGTGTTGACATGTCAGCATGCATGGCATTATCAGGAATCCCAGCCCTGGCCTTATCAACTGGGTTCACATACACCCATGGTTCTAGTGGGTTTTACAGCAGACACAGTGGCAGCTATACACCGGTCCTTCCCTCCACAACACCGGTCTTCAGCCGTGCTAAGAATCTCGCAACTCCCAAACCCCATCTTAAATGCCATGTAGCCCTATATAAACAGAGGGCAGTCTCTCAATATCATCTAATGTCTGTCCGTGGTCTCCCACAGTAGCTCACAAGTTCTACAGCCAGGCCAATGAAGGAGGCCACACTTGTACTGAAACAGGAAAACAGCGGGCAGCTACAAAACCGCAAAAGTGGCCATCAAGAGCAATTTAATTTCCCCCCAGGATGGGAGGGGCAACCAGAAGACAGAGACAATGTTCTTGTCCCAAGAGGCCCCAGAGGGCGAATTGGCTGGCTTCTCCCTTCAGGGCCACACAGGGAGGGCTGCTCAGCTTACGGCAGCCTGCACTTGTGCAGATTCTTCTTCCTCCAGGCCCTCAACCTATCAGTCTAGGCCCTTTTCCAAGCAAAAGGTGTATATACCACAAAACCACCAGGGAACACACCAAAAGACTGGAAGACAGTGTTAGTTCCCTGGAACCTGCAGGTGCAGTGCAATGGGGTAGGGGAAAGTCCAGTGGGAGCAACTGTGTCATGGAAAATGTTAACCAATGTTGTATACACACTGGCGGTTTCCAGGACAGAAATTGACTCAGGTGTCGAGTACACACTCCAGTGGAAATGTTTTATGTCCACTCTCCCCAGATTCCCAAGATTTGTATTAGTCTGAGGCCTGTCTCGGTTTAGCGACTGGTATTAGAAGTGGAGGAAGGATGCTTGCATAGGTTTCGAGGGACAGAAGCCATGCTTGCCACAAATCAAAAAAGCTGTCCACGGTTTATGACCCTTTCTTTACTGAACTGAGACTGCACTTGAAACTTTCTGTAAACACAAACCAGGTCCAATATACTGGTAAAACACCGAATCCCAAAGACTCACTACGGTGCGGACGAGTACGCAGTAAAATTTTACGTATACATGTCATACACCTCACGATGATTTTTTGAAGACCGTGAACTGAGACCACTAGATGATGAGATGTAGAGCCTGCAGTAACAAGACCAGATTTGGCTGCAAGACTCTTTCAGGCTCAGTTTTTCTGCAACACCAACTTGTGGTTGCACAGCAGGATCTACAGTGCAACTCTAAAAACCACAGCCCAGTCTCTCTGGCTCTCCTTGTTGAAAATCCAGGTGATAACAATATTCACTGCCCCAGCGGCGGACAGCTGACCATGCGCACGCAGCGGTGCACGTAAAACGAGTAGTACGCACGGTCTTCACAAATACACGAGTCACACACGACACACAGGTCCAAACTATACCAACTTATAGTAGGCTACTACACGAGTTGTAGAATAGAGTAAACTACTATAATTGTACACAAAGGGCCTAGCCAGCAAAGGACATGCAGAGACAGCGAAATGCACAATGCAAGAGCAAGCCAGGCCCTTTGAACGCGTCTGCGCACACCCTGCACGAGGCAGCAACACGAAACAACAGCGCTCACCTGAAAATTCGGGCCTGCTGGAGAATCCATGCTGCCTGGGTGTGTGCTCCTTCGGGGGGAGGTCGTTGGCTGGCGGGGAAGGTCTCAAGGCAGGGCAATCACTCGGAGGAGGTCGGACTAGGAGCAGCCGGTCGCACGCGCTCTGCTGCGAGATAATTCCGATCGAAATCAGCTGTGTAATTTTGAAACTTCTCTTCAAATAGAAACGGTGTAAGTCACTGCGCATGCGCTGAATATCGATTATCATCTGTTACAGAAAAATCAGGCATTTCATTCCTACACAGAAGAGGTTTATAGAAAGACCGTCATGAGAGTCTGTCCTTGAATATCTAAAATAGACCACCTCATCATCCACAGCCAGTGCCGGATCCACCTGCAGATACAATATCAGGCGTGTCAAGAAATATAGGATTTTGGCGCAAGAGGCTCTTCTTGCACAACCGTGGAAATGGCCGTGTGTCTCCAAAAAGGCAGTGGCATAGCCATTAAACCTATAGGTTCTATACATTTTGCTATCCTGAATCACACACTTGCACACCATTCTTACCGCACTACAATGCAGAGCAGGATCTGACCTGAGCACTGGCTGGCTAGCCTCAGCAGGCGGTGACCGATGGATCTTCCCCCGATGCACGTGTGATGTGCAGCTTCACGATCTCCTCGGCTGAGGTGGGATGGATACCGATCGTGGACGCCAGACCTGCATAGGTCATCCCCAGCCTATTATGTAAACAGTGGGAGAGATAGGTGTGAGTGGGGAGGTGGGGTTAGAGTAGTGTGGCGGATGGAGGATTGAAGAGTAATGAAATGCATGTTGGCGAGCGAATGCTAGTAGTTCAATGTTTCCTGCGTGTACATAGAATATGCAGTGCCCACAGCCACATAATTATAAAAACCCACATTCAGACGTCTAGGTAGGCTCACTTGTCTCGCCAATTATAGGTGCACTAAAACTAATAAAAGGCTACAGTGATGGAGTGGCAGAAGTTAATAGACGCCGCTGTTGTCTTACTTCACAGCTACGGCAAAGCCTTGCATCATCTCCCCGGCATTGGGCCCAGTCATGTGCAGACCAACTACTCTCTCGTCCGGACCGACGCACACCAGCTTCACGTAGCAGCTCCCCATCTCCCGGCCTGGAAGGTAGAACTCCAGCGGATGGTAGAATGCATGGTACACCTGGAGGGAGGCAGGCTTTTCTAACTGATGAAGAAAGTTACATTTATGAAGCAAGCAAACAATGCGGTATAAACAAAGCATGATCAACAAGGTACCAAAGAAAAGGCAAGGCTAACATGCAAGGAGCTGCCCTTGGGTGCCAATAAACTCTCTACAGTCTATAATGGCTGAGCGTACCCCTTAGTGGCGGGATGAGCTCGAATCTACAACAAACAAACAGGCCTAATTAAGCCGTCTTACTTATTAACCAGTAGTTTAGTTGAGATTCGGAAAGCTCAATGAGGGGCAAATTCGGAATTAGGACATACGCTGGAAGCAGAGGTGGAGTGCGACTGTTCGCAGCAACAATTCCGTATGCAGAAATGGTATTAATTGCAGGGTGTCTACTCATCCTGCACACAGATGCAATTGTGGTCAATCTGTGTACTTCCTGATCTAATAGCACCAGCTTGCTGCAGCAGTTGGGCTGTGCACATTACAACATCAAGTACAGTGTCCTGGGATATACTGTACCAATGTGTCTTGTCAGCCTACTATGCATGCAGACCGCATAGAGACCTGCACAGATTCCTCTCCATACTCTGCAATAGCCTTCTCCCCAGTCAGACCTACTGCAGCTAGCTCCAGCGGTGTGAACACTGTGGTGGGTACCTGGAGAACACAGACATAATGCTACATACAAACACCGTATGTAGCACATATGTTACTGTTCTATATACAACGTAAGAGCTTTGGGTGAGCTAAGTCTGGTACTTCCAATCACAAGGGAGCTAGACTGGCAATGAAAGGAAATGTGTAATTGCTAGTTTTCAGTGGAATGTGTCACCAGTATATACAGACAAACAAAACACTAGCAAAGTTAGATATTTATCTAGCACAAACAGGTGTCCCTTAAACCCTCACCTTCAACTTTAAAAACAGGTGCATACACATGCAGACTATGTACATTCGGAGCCTTGTTTACAAGGCTAATGGCTGTGTGTACTCGGCACACATCCTGTGGACGTGTTTCAGGTAATTGAATTAGTGGAAGCAGGCAGCGTAGATAAACTTGCAAATTAAGTGGTTAATTACAGTGAGAGGCCCACGGAGGAGGAGAAGAATAAGGAATGCGGCCCTGAAGATTTAGCCAAAGCAAAAATGGTAGTATTGGGTGTGTTTGCAGCTGGAGTTCGGTCTGTCTGCCTGGCAGCCTTGGACCATCTCACGATACATCAAAACACACCACCTAACAAAAAAATTAATGTTTCAGTCATGTGTCTAGCTCACTGTCTCGTAATCCATCAGCTCTTTCGAGCCGGCAAACAGTCTTCGCGACAGCCGTTTTCCAGCCTCTATAGCGACCGGAGTCAGCTCCCAACGGCCCTGCAGAATATCCAGAGTAAATTAGCACTGTCTTTTGCCAACAGAAAACACTCAGAAAACAATGCAGTAAGCAGGGCTGTGGCTGGGCCCAATGCAAAAACTTCCATTACATCTGCTGACAAGGTTGGTTGTGAAGATACAAGTGTTGTGACCATAGTAACACCTTAGCAGCATCTCCAATGGCGTACACGTTTGGAGCAGATGTTCTGTCAGTCTCGTCCACCACCACCTTCCCCTCTCCGTCCTCCGCTACTCCAGCAAGAGGGAGGGCCAGGGAGTGAGTAGCAGGTCTTCTCCCTGAGAGGTACGCGGATGATCTACGGCTCAGACAATGTTACATACTCACCTGTAGCAAAGAGCACAGTGTCCCATTCTCCCTGTAAGAACACAGGCATAATTATGCACACAGCATGTGAAATAAACAGCTCACACTTTACTTTAGAAAGAGAAAAGGGGGAGAGGGGCAAGCAGTATGGTGAAGAAAACTACAGCTTCTTATACCTGATGTGTCTCTCCCATGTCCCTGCTGAACCAGCTGACATTGAGTGCTGCTCCTTCCTCCCCGGCCTCCCCCCCTCCCTCTACCCTCCTCACCTGCTGAGGCTCACACCCCCACATCACCCTCACTCCCTCCCTCTCCAGACTCCCCATCACCAGCTTCACCAGGTCCTGCAGTCACACAGCCACACACAAGAAACTTATTTTTTGTGTCGGATTTATTTTGCGGAGAAAAAGTATAGATTGGCTAAAAAAATAGTTTGGGCTGGTTGTTGCACGGTAGACCTCTCCCAGACAACTAAGATTTTTGGTGGATGTGTTTTATTCCTCCAAATTGTTTCCCACCACACTGTACCAGTGGTTGCTAGGCACTTATCCTGGTGAACATCAAAGCATTCATCAGTAGCTACAGTTGTTCTCTTGTGAATGAAGAGGACATTTTGCACTTCTGTCCTTCCCTAGCCAATGTAAACTGTTGATTAATCCACGTGGTCCTACTCTGACTCATCCACTTTTCTAAGAAGGACCAACTTAATTTTTGTGGGTTGCAAACATTTGGTAGAGTTGTCTCAACAAAGACACAGTAATGTACCACTCAAAAGTGCATCCTAGGTATATACAAAGTGTCTATGTAAGAGCACATTGGAATAGAAAATAAGTGGAATAAAATTGTACAAACTCTGACTTGTCCCTCCTGTTTGCAAATACATTCACATAGTACATGTGAAATGTATGTAGCATGTTACACACACACACACACACACACACACACAGTGAATTATTTTCTAACCTGGTCAAAAGCTCTGAGGCACACTGAGCGGACCATGAGTGAGGTGGGCTGACCCAGGGAGGCTAGGATTCCTGCACACTCCAGTGCAATGTCTTAGAGAGAGACACAACAGCTTAGGACAACACTCTCTCCCAGCAATTTAACTGGAAACAGTTTTGCCTCAAATGGGCTGTACAAAAATGATTAGATTTGGTAGTTGTTATCATTAACGCTTGACATTAACCCTCGGTGCACGTGCGCAGCGAGGGTTACTGTACTTGTTATTTAACTTGCTGGTGCATTAAACTGGGCCATTCTACGTAAGTGTGTCGGCAAATTTCCGGTTATACAGTAGTTTCAAAGGTAACACCAAGAACAAAAAAGATACAACTTCCTCCGACAACCAACCTGCAGAGGGTGAAATAGAGTGGAATCCGAAACATGTAACAAAAACGAACGTTCTTCCAGGTGGTTTCTGCAAAAAGAATAGGTCGTCACTTGTGATGGCATACTCCTGCGCTCCAGGAACCTGCAAAAAAACAACCACCTCTATCCACAGTATATAGGACTGTGAATAGTGGAACCTCTCTAATTTGGACACCAATGAGACAGCCATATTAGTGGAGGATTATATACCTATTGAATTGTTTTGTAACTGGGGGGGAGGGGGGATTTAGATGTGTCCTCATTTCAGGGGTGTTCTTATTATAGATGTGTCCTCATTTCAGGGGTGTGCTTATTATTGATGTGTCCTCATTTCAGGGGTGTGCTTAGAGAGGGGCTCCACTGTAGGTGTATGCATGCTCACCATATCAGGTAGCCAGGGCCTCCCACCAATGGCAATCACAATGTTCTCTGCTGTCAGAAAAGACTGCAACCGATTTAGTGCCGGCTTCCACGTGCACACCATTCCAGCAGCATGCACACATACCTTTTCACCACCAGCAGTGGTCAACTGTACTGTGTGTGCATCCGAGAATGATCCAAGAGCATTGAAGTATTCCACATTCCTGGAGTGTGCACATGCACAATTGGGAAACATTAAGATTCTCTGTATATACACGCGAGACATCTAACTTCTGTTTCAACTGGACGCGGTGTCCCCAGTTCAGTGATCGGATGTGGTCTCCCACGGCAGAAGTCAGTCTAGTCCTACAGAGCACGGAACCTCAACTACAGACTCCACCAATACACCTTGTCTTTGTCACACACACACACCAAGAATGTTCCGGAGACTCATTCAGGACCCAACCATAACTGGAAGCATCCTATAGTGCACGGTGCAGATTTATACTTTCAAGGGAGATAAAAATCCGACAAAATTTGTGAGAGACAGTGAGTGTTACGACTGTAAAATTTAGAGGTTAATGCTGATTATGTAGAGTTAGGGAGCAAGAAGCAAAATTCAATCATGGAGAAGTTTTGAGGGTTGCAAGAAGATTGTGTGATTCATATAGACACTGATTTTCTGAAATGGCACTCAGAATGAAGAATATCTTCACTTACCTTGAGAGCATGTCCCAGCAGTCCAGCCTGGTGGAATAGTTTCTTTGGGATGCAGCCCACATTCACACAGGTTCCACCCAGACCCCACGTCGTGCCTGAAGCAGACAGACAGGGAGGGGGAGGAGGAGGAGGCAGAAGAGGGGATGGGGGATTAAGAGAGATACAAGCAGAGCTGTAGTGTGAGGATGAGAGTGCTTGCCTTGTGTGGAAGGAGAGACATAGTCCAGCACAGCTACCCTTGCTCCATGCACTGAGGCTGCAATGTACAGCATGACGCTTTAAGCAACAGTGTACGCATAGATACCTTCCTTGGCGCAGGCTAGTCCCCCGGAGCCTCCTCCTATCACCAGCAAGTCATAGTCGAACGCCCGAACTGGAGCTGAGCACGAACAATTGCACAAGGCAATCGATGGACGAGATGCTGAAGAGTAAGTGAGCTGAATCAAACCTCCGGTAATAAAGAGTTTCTGCCTCCTAGTCAGGAACCGCAAAGATATCGCAGCTCTTCTAAGACCCAACAGCATCGGAGCATTACCTGCGCACTATTTAGAGTTCTTGCTGACGTCTGCCAAATCTCGCGCATGCGTATTGCAGGGTTTTGGGAATGCGCATAATAATAAGCGCTCTGTGTGCGGTCGATCAGGAGTATATATATATACAAAAGGAAGTCTCTCTGTCGGCTATTTATAAGTATTCAGTGTCCTAGGTCCAGCTAGTCAGAGAACCAGGTTGCAAACACTTGTGTGCAGTTGGGTGACCTGGTGAGGAGGTAGGGGCAGGAGAGGCAGCCGAGGGGGTCCAAAGTCCAACTCACACAGCAACCTCATGAACTCCTTCCCCACACCAGCATGTCCACCTACACATTAAGAACGAGATAACCTTTCACATGCTGCATGTCCAATATCACAGTCAGTATGAAGAGGCTGCTCTAAACTCTTGCAGGTGCACGGGCATGTGACATTGAGTGCAACTTAATAGCTAACAGATCAGTTTACAGTATGCAATAACTGCATGAATGATAGAACACGGGTACCTAAATTGTGCAATAGTTTGTGCAAACTACGCCATAGTGAGGGATTATCGGTAAGGAGTATATATACCGTATCTCTCCAGTAACCTGATGACCGCCTGTGACCTCCTCTGCTCCACACGAGCCGTCTCCATGTCGTTGCGACGAACAGCTGCCAACATACGGTTGTTGAGCTTTCCCGTATAGTTGTATGTACTGTGAACATGAGTTAGCAATCCCATCAGCAACACATGTACATGTCATTTCATACAACGTATAGTACCTGCCAACAGCAGACGTACATCCCAACACCAAAGCACCTAGCAGTTGCTGCAAGATATATATATACAAAACAGACTGAGAATCAAGGACCAGCCTTGTACATTATATACACACCTGGTCACAGCCATAGAGTATGGAATATTTTCCGTTGCTGTGGACAACGCAGCGACCCAGCTGGTGAAGGTCGGGGCTGGTGAACTTGATGCCTCGCAACGTTGGCAGACGAGACCCAACTTGGTCCAGAAAATCCTCCATATTAACTATTAGGTACACCACCAGTTGGCGAGCAAGTTGGTGGTCCAAATTGGAGATTTTATTTGAGGGAAGTGTCACATTGTACTGTGCAGATTCTTATGTACTGTACTACTGACTATGGGACCACTGGCTCACAGACTAGCTCATGTTCATGTGCCAAAAATTAGCTCTATTTAATAGGATGGTGTTACTTGTATGAGTGTGAGCGCAGAACCACCATTGTCCACCAACCAAAGCCAGTATATTATACTAGAGAATAGGACGGAGACCAACTCACAGTCTACTCCAGTCATGGAGGGAATGTGGTAGTAGAAGAGAGGGAGACCAGGTGCTGCCTCACCAACCACTGACAAGTAGCTAATGAGGTGGTCTGCAAGACAATACATTAGTGGTACATACATACATACATACATACATACATACACACACACATGCACAGCCGGCTTTCCCTGGCCATTCCCCTATTAGGTAAAAGCTACAGCCAAAACCTTTTGGAGATTTACAAAACTCCCTCACAGGTTTGACTATTTATGGAGTATAAAAAAGAGCTGACGCACTTGCATGATGCACAATGTACACTGCAGTTTTATGGCAATACGATCCTTGGCCTCCTCTACTCATACATCCATACAAGACGTTGAAGGAGGCTGCGGCATGTAAACAAAATTATCTGTGCGCGTACGAGCTGCTGAATCAGCAACAGGCATACAGCTGGCTCACGGGCCAAATTTGGCAGCAGAAGTGAGCTGTGTATGTCTGTATGCATAAGTCATGCAATAATAGCAATCGAGTCCCAAGTTTCGACTTTGTGCACTTTGTGTTAATTGGTACACCTACCAATAGATGGAGGTTTGAAATAAGTGGTAGGCATCACAGATATAGCACTGGCCCCACTCCTCTCAGCGTGCTGGGCCTGACAGACACAGGGTTAAAGATACAGGTGCCGTTATCATCGACTTGTGGGTACACACCAGCTCACAGGTGTCCCTAATGCTCTCGCATCCAACATGAGCTAGAACAGTCAACCTGCACACAAGCATTTCAGAGGATACATCAACAATAACCACAGTGAATGTGCACTGCAAAGATGCTACTGTCTGAAGTGTGTTTAAGGCCTAAATCTTACTGGACACATTAGAAATGCACAGGAGTGGTATGATACACAATACTTCACCTGCCAAGACTCTCTTTCAGCCATGCCTCCAGCACACACTGTCTCTCCCACACAGTCAGACTCAGGCTCTCTCCAGTGGTTCCGTTTACTGCATTATACATGAATAGTAGATGAATAGTATAGGCAGGACATTGGGAAAGAGAATTGGCACGGAAATGAAAGTAGTCTAAATAGTGTGCCCTACAAGGTAACCTATTTATGCTCCCAATTGATGGTGAGTTTATCTTTAAGACATATCTCTATCCAAACACTGAAAATGGTTAGCTTATCAGGATGGAGGTAGAGAGAGAGAGGATGCACGTGGCACAGCAGGAGAAAGCAGACGCCTGACTGCCACTCACCAAAAACGGAGTGCACCCCACTCTCACACAGCCAGTCAGCATAGGGCCGGATGACTCCCAGATTCAAATCACTGCATTGCAAAGAGTCGTCATGAGACAGTTTGTACGGAAATACACACACATACATACATACATACATACATACGTAATATCCAAGTATGTGATTCCCACCCAAACATGTAAAATGAGTAGGGCAGTGTGCTTGTATGCCCATATCTAACGGAATAGAAACCCTTTGCTACAGAAAAGGGAACACACACCACTTTAGTAGGTATATTTGTTGGATATCACTAGGCAACAGACATGTATGAATAGGTACTGGGGGATTTTATCAGCCTATACAATCCTACATGTGCAAGCAGGGTTCATACATGTCATTTGCCTAGGGATATCCAACAAATCTGTTGCAGTACTCAGACAGGACAGCATTCGCCGCATGAGCCCTGTAATGTCTAGTCTAACTATATATACAATGCCCCGTATGAAAGAGAATACACACACACACCCTCTGCTAGTGCCTTGTGAAAGAGAATACACACACACCCTCTGCTAAGTACATTGCCCTTGAAAGAGAACACATACCCCGTGCTCGTAAAAGGGGTAAAGGTGGCAGCTACAAGACCATTAACGGCGAAGCGTGACACCTGTATAGGGAAAAGAATATGTTATCAGTATAGAGTAACAGATGTGTAATTGATGACAGCCTTAGAACAATGTACACGTCCCACCGCCAATTTGCTACTATTGGTAACAGCAGGCATAAAATCCATGGGATGCTAGCGTACATGTATTTACAGAGTATCTTTTTACCTCAGCTCTATTACTTGGTTTTGCCCTCGCTCCAGATGGTTTTGAAGATCCTTTCTTTGCTGCGACAGCTGTTCCTGAGCGATATAGTTATATCATGCAGACAACAGTAAGTACCACAGCTGGAGCCCAATTGCTTTACATCAATCATATAGCATGCACAACCAGCTGTACTACATATACTGTGTGAAGATGCTAATAACACACCTGACAGGGAATATGAAAGGGGGGAAGAGGACGGTCGTAGGGGTTGGCGGGAGAGAGAGGGCGGGGAGGAGGAGGTGGAGGGAGGTAGAGAGAGGGCCAGAGTGCTGTTGTCGGGGGAGGAGGAGAAGAAACGGGTGGATTTGGGGCTGGGTGCCCCCTCACTTGTGTCCAGCTTGATCTTCTTACGTACAAGGAGCCTCACATACATGTCTCTAGAGGTACACATTGTATCCATTTGTGGACACAGTGGTATGCAACAAATGCTGTGTGCAAGTTACTTGTTAGAGGCATCAATGGGGCCTGGATTCTCGCCCAGCTCCACGAGCTTCTGCCTGAGCTCATCGCAAGAGCACTTCTCGTACTCTTCCTCGTACTTCTTGCTCTCCTGACCTGAAGATTTTCGCTTTCCTCTCGGGGGCATGGCGCATGGCAGGCGGCTGAGGTTTTGCGCATGCGCAATGGTTTTGCGTAGGTAGAATAATTATACACATACCGACCGCGCCCAACACAACTCAAGTCATGCTGATAAAAGAAACTAAGGTTTGTGGTGTTTTGAAGAAGATCATGATGTGGACGCACATGCAAGATGCAACAGACGATGATGGTGATATAGAGAACACTTATATTATCGAGGCTGCTATACAACTACGTCGTGACCGCTGCTTCCTTCTGACAATATTGTTTCGGCAAAAGTTTATATTTTCTTCGAGGACGTCGTTGCAAATACTGTGTGTTCAGAATGCAGCAGCTCATGACATGGTAAGGCTTGCTCCATTGGTGGCACCATTTCTCAGGATCTCGAGCAGCCTGTACGATAAAGGAATTGGTCTGCAGTTTCATCATGAACGTCCTTACTCTCAGACAGTTCACCCCCATGTCATCAATAGATTTCCCGAATTTCCGGGTTGCAAATGGTTGACAGGTAGCACCAAGAGCGGTTGGAAACAGAGGCAGAATCAAGAATGTATGTGTGCCTCTAAAACCAGGACAACATGCGAACAGAGCAGTCACGGGCAGGCTGAAATTCCAGAATGGACTTTGAGAGCTTGATACCACCTAACCATACATCGACTGCAAGTCCAGAGTGCTCAGATTCTACCTCCACACAGAGCACTTCAGCCCCTAACATCACTTCAGGAATTTTATCACCACTTATGTTGTTACTAACCCTGGGTGGAGTTGCCAGCCGGCTACTATTATCATTTGCTGTTCCCACTCTCATTGCTTCGTGGACACACGGATCAATCCTTGTTTTCTACCTCGGAGTCTCCTCTATCTCTGCTCACCCTATGCAACCATTCACTATGACTGAGAGACAAACTAGTACCGTTAGTAGTGTACTGACAATTCCCCTGAAAGGCTGGCCGAATACTGGCTACTGTGCAACAATGAGGTTCGGAGAAAACAAGCAGCAAATAGTAAGATAGGATTATCTTACAATTCACTGTTTAACACTGTGTTGTTGTTCCAGTTCTGCATGATAGTAGACACTGGTAGTTCTAACACTGCAATAGCTTCAACTCCACATACAGCATTGGGTGGGATGGAGTTCTTTGACATACACAGGTAACGTTTCCATTACTCTCAGTTTCAACGAGTCAACTTACGTACTGTCTCCAAACAATACACTACAGTACTGGAGACGAATTCATCAACGTGAGCAAATCAGTCGGTGTGACGTACAGTTCTGGAGAATGGTCTGGGTATCTGGTCAAGGGAAAAGTAGGTCTTGGAGACCTAAGCATGGTCGAGGGAGTCTTTGCTCTCATTACATCGTCTGATAAGTTCTTCATTGAGAGAGCCGACTGGGCTGGCATTCTGGGACTGGCATATAGATCCTTGGCAAAGGTACGGATGGTCCAGTAAATGGTTAAGACAATGCGGAGTGTGTATATATGTCAGTGTATTAGGTTGTGGGTTGTGTTTGTATGCAGCCAGAGCCGGGTGTGGGGACAGTGTGGGACAGCGTCAGAGAAACCAACGGTCTCCAGGATGTGTTCACGATGCAGCTCTGTCCCCCGAGGGAGTCCACTCTCTTCCCTGGAACTTTTGTCAGACAGGGAGGCTACATGGTTAGATGCGTGCATGGTGTGTTGTACATAAAACAGCGTGTTTACATGGTATGGTGTTTTGAAACATTGTGGTTCTATGGAAACACTGTTTGGTGACAGTAGGTGCCTTTTCCCACACACACACAGACACTAGGCGGGATCAACACGTCTCTCTATCACACCAATAAACCAATACACTATACTAAGATAGTTGAGGAAAGATTCTTCAATGTGCTGCTGACTGACATCTCAGTTGGAGACAGGAAGCTCAACATATCTTGCAAAGAGGTATAGATACATGAAAGAAGAAGCATCACTAGTATTCTTGTTTGCTGATGTAGTTTAACACCGACAAGACTATAGTCGATTCTGGAACAACTGACATCTATTTTCCTGAAAAAGTCTTTGAAGCCATCAAGGATTGCTTCACTGAATACTTCAAAGTGAGTTCTGGAGTATATAACTCTCCACTAGGCCTATACACTATGTACAGAGTTGGATGAGTATATCTTACTCAGGAGTATACATTACAGTGAAGCATTCATGTTAAGCCTTCCAGTTAGTGTTCTTTGTGAGAATTCCAGAGGTGTTCTCCCTTAATGGCAGTACAAAGTCAATGTCTCACTCAACTGCATACTTTGCCAACACTAATTGCGTGCTAGTTGCACCAATAATCACTAAGTAAGGTAGTACTTAGTATATAGGGATTGATTCTTCTTTTTTAAATTCGCAGGATTTTTAATTTACTTGTTGTCACTGACTCTTGCCAACTACAGGGTGGACTGCCAATAGTAGTTCCAGAGGAGTTCTGGATAGGAGAGAGAAAGCTGCTCTGGCAGGCAGCCCACGTGGAGGAGATCTACGAATGCTTCCCCACCATCCATTTGAGCATGGCCGACCACCAGAACAGCAGCCAGCAGTTCACGTTGGCAATCGTGCCCCAGGTAATCACATACAGCACCTATAGCAGCCGCAGCACAGCTGGTTGTTGGTGCCAAGTATTTCGTAACACTGTATGGTGAGTCGTTACGAGTTGGGAGCATGTATTGCCACACCTAAGCACACACCCTTGTCTATTATACACCCACACTGCACCCAGCGCCATGTTCTATATACACACTGGCATTTCTATTGGCACAGCTCTACTTGAGACAAATTGATGTTCTAGTTAGAGAGGCAGACCCCGCAGTGTGCCCCCCAAAGAGCCCCTGCGATGGATTCACGTTTGGAGTGAAGCCCAGAGCCCAAGGTCTCTTGGCCCTGGTCTTGAGAGTACAATTGCATCTTGTGTGTTCTGCTTGTGCAGGGACAGTCATTGGAGCTAATGCAATGCTTGGCTACTATACTGTGTTTGACCGAGAGAAAAAGAGAGTTGGATTTGCAGAGTCAACATGTGACTGTGAGTAGCTTTCCTGCTTTCATGATCTGCCCCACACAGATGTATTGAAATTCACACTCATCTAAGCAAGTTGTGCATAATGAATAATGTTTATGCAATCATAGATCGTAACTCTAAAGCGGTTCCTGCCATTAGTGGACCACACCCGCGAGGTAAATTCGTATTGCACATTGTGTCAAGTTGTTGCGAAATGCCCCAATTATTATTACTCAGTACCAGAGGACTGTGAGATGCCCCCATTGACCTCACGCTGGGCTACCATAACGTACATCTGCGGAGCCATAACAATGACGCTTGCAACAACCATGACTGTTATTGTTGTCACCGTTCAAGTGAAGCGATGCTCAAGGAAAAGCTGCATCAGGAGCACTGCAACACTGCCCAAGCGTACCATCAACAAAGTTAAAACAGCCCGTAGATCAGCCACCATGACTATATCCAAAGTTTGCTGCAGTAAATTTGTCACTCCTCAACACGACGAAGGCTACGCCAGTGAAACCACTCCCCCCTCTCCATCGCCATGGGACAGCATTGAAGTCAGCATCGTTGTGCTTAACACTCCACTGGACACCGAAGGAAACGATGAGATAATAGTACCATCCGCGCAACCAGTGGTAGCTGCAGAATCGACTGGTACGGAAATGGTTGCCATTCAACCATCCATTCAAAAGTCCACCCAGAGAGCCGGAGCCAGTGGTCACCCGAGGAGAAAATCAGGGAGTAAACGTTGGAAGAGAAGGCATCGCCCGGTGATGGAGTCCGAGACGGAAGGTCTCGATACTCTGTGTGCTGAAAGTGGCTATAGGTCTCGACCCACATCAGCGATCCAACGATCGTGTGACACGTATAGCAGTGGTGTCATTGTTACTGAGCGTAGGCTTTACCAAGAACCTTATAGTGTGTTTTGAAACTGAAACACTACAAGTACCAGTGTAGTTGTTTACTCACATGCACATTACTATAATAACTTGCTCATTTTTTACGAGCGACGGGTACTATTACGCTTTACTCGGGCATCTGCTGAAATTTTGCACTCTCCTTGCGCTAAGCCGCTAACCAATATTGCGTGTGTTCCAGTAAAAATTGTGGTTTGAAATTGATTGCACGGGAAAATAAGAACATCAGACATCTTTCCCATATTATCTGGTTTACAAAGATGCCATCATTGTCCCATGCTGCTGTCTGAGGGTTGTATGACAGTTGTTGGGGCCCGATACACACACACACACACACACCACACACACACACACACACTAGCTCAGCAGAGAAACGAGACTGCTTGCAGCGTATATAGCATGTGTGTGGAGTTAGCCTCATCCACCACCTCCGACTGGAAGATAAAAACAAGATACAGAATGAATTTCAAGAGGCATTTATTGACCACACACCTAAAACACTAGACAACTGCTATGTCTTTATCACTACCCTTCAAATCTCCTGGGCACAACTGCTTAAAAGCACATGATGCAACATGGAATAGTGCCACTACATGCTGCATGTATACACAGGGGGAATCTATATAATATTGTCTCAGGATTCCTCTGTAATTACTATGGAGGAAACACTAACACGTGTGCATGTGTCATGTGACTGACCATTTCGTCGGGCAGGTCTGTACCCTCCACCTCCTCCGTGACCTGACATGGGGAAATAGTCTCTCCGGGAGGGGGGGGGAGCCTGTATACGAGCCCGTCAAATGAGATTTGCAAACGGTGAGAATAGGAACATACGCTGGGTTTAGTTTTCTTGGATTTGCCGACGACACCAAATGTCTCCCACTGATTAATCTTCTCGTCTCTCTCCTCCGCTGATCTCTGCAGTGGGAATAAGAGTGAACAGTAGCGATTCAACAACCTTGTTTAGGCATGTTTTCTCGCAAACAGTTTTGACCGGCGAAGGCACCAGGTGTTCGTGGCTGATCACATTGTTATGATAGAAAGTTTGCCACACAGAATACGGCAATTGCGAGGTGATTAAGCATGCCATATTGCGCATTGTGTGGAATGTGTAATTATGACGCTTCACCCTCAACAGTAGCACTAAGGCACCACACACCACACACACTACACAAACACACGCATCACCACTGCACACATCAGCAGTCTACATCATTCCAACAGTGACACAGCTGCACACATCAGCAGTCTACATCATTCCAACAGTGACACAGCTGCACACATCAGCACAACTCCCCCACACACTATCAGTCTGTAGGTAGTCACTTGAATCAGCAATCTCATGATATACACATGCACTACCAGTTCAAACGGAGACCACACCCACAATCTTTAAATTGTGCATTGCAGATTATGGTCAGTGGCCATATGACTGCTGATTCAAGAAACCGCTTTAATTCAACCAGACACGTTCCGATTTTGGTCTGGGGACCGGACTGCCTCAGTAGGGGACGTACAGATGCAGTAAAGTGAAGATCAGGGAAGTCTTATTGGATGGGCATAGCACCCATATAACCATACAGTGGGTTTTCAAGATCCTTTTTACTGCTCACATTCAACACTTTGGAGTATAACTATCAAGCAACAACACCTGGCAGCCTGAAATCCTAACCGGCAATTCTTGTGGGTTTTCAAGATTCACACTTTGGAGTATAACTATCACCATAAACTAGCAACAACACCTGGCAGCCTGAAATCTCCTAACCGGAATTCTTGACAATTCACGAAACCATTTTCCTTGCACCAGTAGAGTATGTATGTAGCACACAATTCCCCACCAACCAAACGTATTCCACACCAATCTCTGTGACGTCAGAACCCATGTCAAGCACCGATTCTCCACCACATTAGGACCCATGTCAACATAAAACCACACAACATGGACCCATGTAACGTGCAGCACACAACTCACTACCACATCAGGACCCATGTCATGAATCCCAGTCATGCTGGGACCAATGTCAGCACCCACCTCCTCTGCCTTCTGCTGGTGTTCGGCAGCTCTCTCGTCCTGCAACCTCTGCATCCTCTCGCGGGCACGCAGGAGACCGTCCTCGTGCTGTTCCGCCTTTACTGGGTCTGGAATGATGACACAACCACACATAATCATAGCTAACACCAGGCAAAGTACTAGTTGAATGGTTCATTGGATAATGCTTATCAAAATAGCTGGAGAGCCCTGTCCCATAAAAATGGATCTTTGTTCCACAGCAATGAATATAAATATTTAGGGACTTTAGGGTCAGGTACTGCAGTGCCAAGAAATTGCCCACAAGTCAGCAACGTAACATGTCTAGAAGCAAAGATAGGGCATTGGGTTTCGTGGATCAAACAAAACATTCCCTTGAGTGTAAAATACACTGACCAAAGTTGAGTTCTTCCTCCCTCTGCTTCCTCTTGGCCCACCAGCCCTTCACCGCTGGGCCTAGTTTCATCCACACGACCCCCACACACACCACCACCAGGACAATGTACCACCCATACTGGGACAGATAGCCCCGCCTGCAGGGAAAACATCAACTCAAGTCATACCCTCAGTTGCAAATACACCTGGATTACGGTTCTAGATCCGATGATATCAGGACAGACACCGTATTCATTTTCCCCTTCACCTACCTCCATAAAAGTATTGTCCTAGTTCCGTGTCCGTATAGATCTGCCCTCCAGCGGATACGCTAGCCTTGTCGAAAAGGGAGGGCTCCCTGGAAGGCGTCTCTTCTCCTCCCGTAGCGTCTTCAGGGGGAACGTCTCCCATGTCGCGTCTGCCTCTCAGTATGCAACGGACTTTGACGGTTTCAATTACCACTGCACTTTGACCACCTCTCGCGCGCTGCGCGTATTCATCAGCGCCAATCATCGCGTGCGCATGCGTGTATCATGCTGTTCCCATAATTATAATAAAACTTAAAAAAACTGATGGCACAACAATAATCATAATAATAGAGGCTCTGTACAAACGTCACAAAGAGGATGAGGACTTTCTATACATTTTTACAGCAGACAATATTAGAGACGTGAAACGGAACAGAGGAGATGATGGGACAACATGAGGTGTGCACATTCAGACAGTCATTTCGGAAGTACTGAGACAATAATAATATTAGAGAGATAGGAAGCCTCAACATGTTGAGGCCAGCAGAAGAGAAGAGGAGTGTGACATTATAAAAAGTGTAGGAGTGTGTGTGTGTGTGTGTGTGTGTGTGGAGGTGGTCTTTCAGTGGGCATTCATTCTGGCTCTCTGCATCTGTGGAGAAAACTCAATCATATTATCTTGCTGCATAAAAAGTATCTACAGTAGACGTGACAACAAAGACTTGCAAAATGAATAAGGTGTGGTCTCTGGGGCAAATGATATATTACCGTGCTACAGTCTATCATACCAATAGTGATGCAGGAAGGTCAGTGGGGAAGTCCCCTTCGCCGTTGGCAAGAGCGGGGTTAGCTCCGTACGCCATCAGGAGAGCAACAATCTCCTTCAGTCGCCGGCCAGCAGCTATGTGCAGAGGTGTGTTACCTGTAGGTGGTGCACATATGTGTGCATGGTTGGTGTGACGTGTGACGTGTGTGTGTGTGTGTGTGTGTGTGTACAAATGTTGGAAATGAAAGTGGATTAGAAACATAAACACAGTACATGTACACTGTACTACGTCACACAAGGAACTCTACCATTTTCCCTGGAAAGAGTCAGAGTTCAATTCTTACAAATAATGTCTGGAGAGAGCATATGCAGTAATAAACACTGGGGCAAACAACTAGCATAATACAGCAGGTTGGGGGGAATTTTAACTGGAGGGCAGAGGAAGGACAATGTTATGAGAAATAAGGATGCAGGACGAGGAAGTGGAAGATGAGACACACTTGGAATTCCCTTTTTACTTGCGTTTCAGTTGTACCCAAGGCGTGTTGAAATTCTAGCGAAAGAGGCAAGTTTTCTGTACCCAAGGCGTGTTGAAATTCTAGCGAAAGAGGCAAGTTTTCCGGCGAAGGTGGGGGAAGTTTCACACGTCAGTTTACGATGTACAGTATATATACATACCTGAAAAGGTGGCCGAGTTAACGTTGCAGCCACCCTCCAGGAGAAAATTGACAAGGATAAAGTTCTCGGCTTCCACAGCATAGTGAAGAGAGGTACGCCCACTGCAAGCATCCTGCAGATACATACATACATACGTACATACGTGACAATGCAGTGATGTGTATGATGAACACTTTGGGGGCACTGTCTTAATCGCGAGGTGTTTCTCATCTCTTATTCGCGAGGTGTGTCAAGCAAAACCATAGTGTCTTCTACACCATCTAGTTTGCAGAGAGGCTCACCATGGCATTCTTGTTGGCCCCCATCTGGAAAAGAAACTTGAGTACGTCGATGCTGGATTCCCTGGTGGCCAAATGGACTGGGGCTAACCCTGCATGAGTAAATAATGCAGTGTCAGAGTATCTAGACTCAACATCTTCCCAAGGCTGTATGTGTGAATGTAGGTGAGGAGTGTTCTTTCTTTTCCCTTCATTTGTGGCCTAGTGTGTTGCTTTATCCACACATGTTGTGAGGTGCACCACAGTTACAGCGTTCTGTTGGCCTCACCTGCAAAGTTCTTGCAGTTGAAGTCAGGCACGGGGCTGGCGGCACGGGCCAGTATCTTGAGCACCTGCATGTCCCTGCGAGCGGCGGCCAGGTGGAGCGCCGTGTTGCCCTTCCGGTCGGGGAAATTGACGGAGGCTCCTGCTTGAACGAGCATCTGAACAATGTGGGGCTGTCTTGTGATGATGGCAAGATGGAGTGGCGTCTACATGGAGGAATAACAGTTACATCTTCGTTATAACATCCATACACTCATACCTGTATGTATACATATATATACACCATGATTAGTGGGAAGCAACTTACTTCTGAAAGGCGTATAAGCTAGTGGTGATGTACATTACAGTTAGGCGTAGAAAATAGAGCTTGCACAGCTAAAGGTGCATGGAAAAGAGCTTGAGCTGGCAGTTTACTACTACAAAACTGTGTTTGCCTGCCCACCTGTCTCATGTTGTTGGCAATGTCGAGGTTCATGTACACGCCGACTATGAGCTTCACCAGGTGCTGTGTGAGACGTACGTTCTCGTGTATGATGGAGAGGTGGAGAGGCCTGCAGGACAGGAAAGAAGGTTGTGAAACAGACACACTATTGCAGCTTTTGAAGAAACACACCTACGCCAACACAATCATGCTAACCTTCCACATAATGCCCAAGAAACAACACATTTCTTGAAAATAGTTGCATTCTGTGAACACCACCAAGATCTCACCAATTAGCCACTGAAAGTGCCAATTGCACACACCAAGGTATGAGACAATTCTCTCTGACCAGAACATTACACAGACCAATCTATCCTTTCACGCTACAATGATTTCATTAGTTGACCCACCTGACTAATGTTAACACCCTCCCCTTTTCAGAGAAAAGAAGTACATTTTGAATTCAATCCCACATCCCAAGGGCGGCTACTGAAAATGGTAGAGGGGGGCTAGAAAAATTGCATTTCTACCGATGTTCACATGATTGCTATAACCATATTGTCCACTCCTGAACTACTAGTCATGATGTTAAGTATTTTACACATAGAGATAATCTTGGTGTATTCGCTACTACGAGATGGCAAGTGTGTATGTGTAATGAGCACTATATATACTCACGTGTCGCCATCTTCATCAGGAAGAATTGCGAGGTGAGCCTCGCTGACCTGGAGCAGAGCGCTCTGCCGCTTCACCTCTGCTTCCTCCTCCCTTCCCCCTCCCTCCTCACCCCCTCCGGCCACCCTCTGCCTCCTGCCCTCCGCGTCTCCTCCAGCCCCACTGCTGCCACTCCCACCACTGTTGGGCTGGGTGAGCGACGTGTGTGGAGATCGCGGACTGTGGGGACTCACCGACCTAGCACTGATCCAGGAGAAACAACACCAGTCAATACACATCCACTACAACCCTATTATAACCGTCTAAGTAATGGTGTGTGCACAAGATGCGGTATGAAGTCCCCGATGACTTACACTTTTCATTTCAAAACTACACAGATTTTTCGCGCCTTCTAAACTAGGTCATATGTAGAAACTTTTTCCAAGTGTAAAGCTCTCCAAAATCTGTTTTGGATAGTGTGCCCACAACACACAGACCTAGACGCACGCACGAGGGGGATTTCATAGTGCGAAGGAGATTGAACTGGGACTAATACCCACATACAATGTCCGGATACTGAAAGTACGGCTCTGGGCTTTCAGTCGGTGCTAGTGCCCCAAAAAAAGGTCAGGTGTATGCACACGAAGCAAACGCCAGTGAGAGGACACTCTGGTGGAACCCCCAGTACTTCTGACGTGCAAACCTATTGCCAAACTGGCGAAAGACTAATCAAACTTAGCTGGTGTTTGTTTCCCCCATAGCTCACCTGTTGAGGCTGTTGATGGAGGACGAGCTGGGACTCACGGCGCGCAGCGACTGCGGGCTGTGGCGACTGGAGAAGTTGGCGCTCTCCCGGCTGGAGCGGATTAGGGACATGACCTTGGCCATGTGCGGGTTTCGCTGCTGCTCCACCTCCATGCTGTCTGGCTGCCGGTCACTGCGAGACAGCTCCTCGATACTCCGAAAGTTCACAGGCCCACCTCCCCCTCCACCACCTCCTGATGATGTGTGGTGCGAGGGACTGACCACGGTGCGGTGAGTCTCACTGCAACCACAGGACACCAGAGGGAAAGATTATAATGCTCATGTAATACGATTGAGTAGTATATTTACGCTGCGATGCTTAATTGAGCACGATATGTTCATGCATGATTGAAGGACACATGAGTAGAGGTTTATGCACTCACCATAGACACTACAGCTCTAAAGGTTTTCCCACTCACTGTGTGTTGCTACATAATAGAGCCACTCACCCTTCCTCCATGGAGCTGAGAGGGCTCCGCGAGGGGCCCGGTCTCTCAGGAGACAGACCTCCGCCTCCGCTCCTCCTGGTCTTGTGACGAGAACTGCTGCCACGGCCACCTGTCGACGAAACCGGGGACACAATTGTGGGGACCTTGATGGGACGATGGAGCAAGGCACCGGGGCCTGCGGAGGGGGGGAGGGGATGGAGAGATGAGGTACGGCAATGCTAGGAGAGCTGTGTACTAGCAAGTGCCACACAGTATAGTCTAGTACTAATCCAACAAACTCTTCTTCTGAACAAAAGAGCACTGAATGTGCACAGAGCCAAACACTGTACTAATTCATCTACAACCATCTCAGACATCCAGCTTGACACTTGCACACCCAACACTGTATTGTCAAAAGCCGACTCACGAAAACGCCACTTGTTGAGCATGGCCTGCTGGGGAATAGAGAAACAACACCACTCAGCTGTAGCAGCAGCAGGTTTACACACAGGTCTCTGATACACTTCCACAAACAACTATGAAACTGCTTCACAATTGCACTGCTTTTATATGAGCACTTCAAATTCTGGGAACATCCCCCAGCTCATTGTAAACAGCCATATGCATATCTTCCCCTTTCACTAACACACACACACTAGCAGACACAATACACAATATTATAGAGTGAAGGAAGCTGGCCGACATCCAAGGGGAATGCCACCACCGCATTCCTCGTAATTTCCCAAAGTCAATTGTGTGTAGGAGAGCTAAGGAAGGTAGGGCATGCATGTGGGCATGCATGTACGCACATCTATGCATGAATACTGATGCAGACAGTAAAGTGATACATTACCACAGGGGAGAGAGGATAGTGTGTCTGCAAGGCATTTTTGGTGAGCCAGTGCGAGAGTTACGGCACATGCAGCGTGTAATTAGAATCACGTAAGACATTACAGTAATGGTGGCAACAATGGATACAACGTCACACTGTATAATGCAGCCTCCTAATTTTATCTTCTTACACACTCTAGCAGCTATGCACAGAAGAGTGTAAATTGATGACAGGAGATGCAAAATCTTTAATGGGAATGTGGTATATAGTATAAAAGGGCTAAATTTATGAAAACTAAGTTGCATTCTTTCACTGACCCAACTGTTTAGTTCCGTAACATTTCCTAAATTTGAGCCCTTACTACTGTCACATTCCCTTTACTTAACCCATAATCAGTGATAGGGAAAATCCACTAAGTGTCTGCTTAGTAAGGCTTCCACAAAGCAGGAACTCTAATTTCTCTCGAAAGGACATTTGATCATTCACTTTGGGGCATTATGGAGGCATCTGCAAAATAGCAGTGTCGTCTTAATAACATGGATGGAGAGGGGGGTACCAAAACATGTGAGTAGCCAACAAATATTTAATTTTGCAAGTCACACGGTCAGGAAGGAGACTTGCGACAGATATTGATCATAATAGAGTTCATATTCCCAGTTGAACCCAAGGGAAAAACAATCCCTTGGTGTTTTATAGAGTGGTGGAAGTGACCTGTATGTAGTAACATGCCTCATCATCATACGGTATTTCTGCCATTTCGAGAGCTCTCACACAATGATACAGGCAGATTTTCACAAGGATTTCTCAACGTTTCAGTGTTTGCGGAGTCCATAATGAGACTTCTTTACTGTGTATGGAGACGTTGAAAAACACAATGTTGCCATGTACGTATACATACACTTGCCATTTCCATTAATGGGGCTAGGGTGCCAATGAAACTGTGTATAAAATTGTACTTCTATTCTTAGCTTAGTTCCATTTCGATTTTGATTCTGCAAACTTTAAAACACTGCATTACAAAACAATACACAAAAACGCGCTGGGTTTTGGCCGAAATTGGTGTTCATACAAACCTACTGCACCAACGAAACAGAAGGGTGATTGAAAAATACATTCAAGATAAATTCTCAGTTCTACAGACAGGGATCCCCCAATAATCTGGAAGGTTGCATGGTGCTATATTATACTACCAAGCCTCAGAAAGCTACGTATGTATGACACAAATCAAGGAGAATGTGTGGTCAGGAACCCCTTCCCAGCACCCAGTCCTTCGCAGTGGGTTGAGAGCGTATTAACACTATAGGTGGGCAGTATTAACACTATAGGTGGCCCTCCCTCCTACTATAAAAAGCAGATAGCTGTTGCACCGATGAATGTAAGGGGGGAATTGGCCATATCCACCGTACATATAACTGCTTATACTGAGGGCCACAGAGAGTTAATAAAAGGAAAGTTTGCACTAGGTTATGGCTACAGAAAGGTTAAATTCAGACGCGTGTGTAAGTGCCATGAAACACTATAAAGCCCCCAGTTCCAGGTTTTAACCCAAATTCGAAGAATGGCGGAGTGGTTGGAGAAAAATAACAGACTGTGAGCTGTATTCCGTTTGGATAGGATGACCCCACGTATACACACTGCTCCAAATATGGTGAACTGAAGGGGAAGATGTACACATCCCTACCTACATCTACATACCACGTTGTTACCGTATACACATGCATATTAACCTAGAACGCTGCAAAAAGCTCATTCTTGTTTGTGTACATTGAAAACCTGGGGAGACATAATGTATAAAAGAAGAGCAAGTGTGGGTGTGTACACAATCTGCAAGCTAAGGAAGCCTACCTCAGTCGTTTGGATGCAGAATTCTTCTGTATATCTATGTGATAACTGTAGTGCTACACATAATTCTAAATGCACGTACAGTAGAAGTGCTTAGATTTTGCACTCACATTTGCTCGCCAAAATGTGCTGCATTCATTCTACGTAGTAGACAGTTCAGGTATGGTGTAAGACTGCAGAGGGAGCACTTTCGTCAAAGAATTGATCGGTGCCTCTGAACTGCAAACCCACAGTGAGTTGTCTTTGGGGTAACATTGGAGTGGATCAAAACTCCACGTTCTCACAAGGTGCGTTGAACAGGCCAAGTACTATTCGAGGAAAGCCATTGCCCATTATCATACCGGCAATTTCACTTGTGTTTCACGCATATATTACTCACGAGAGCAGTAGTTTCAGAAACATCTCCATGCCTTTTACGCACTGGGGCTTTATATAACACTCTTTTGCCGTCACATAGATTTTAGTGCCAGAATAACGGTAATAGACATGCACACCAACTACTACACCTCGATCGCTGTGTGTGCATGCTGAGGGTAAATTACCGTCGTTTCTGGATATACATCGGATATGTCCCTTCCCTCTCTGAGTGTATTATGTACAACACAGTGCGTAGTTTACAACCTACACAATGATATCACATAATATGCATGTCATTGCACAGTTCAGGAGAGGCTGAGAAAGTATTACAAAAACTGGTATTTTGAAACACAACATGCATGAAGTTCAGGCAATGAAACGATTAAGTAGCACAGAAGCAGGGTCCATCCACCCCCCAACCCTCTACCTCCTTCCCTCCTTTGGCTGTTATATTTAACTAAACGACATAAACCCGCTATATGCTGCGGTACTGACCATTTCGTTGAGTTGCATACCATTAGGTATCATTGACGCTATATACAAATGCCAAGAGAGAGACCACTGTACATACTTTCTTACCAAAAGCACAAGATGAAAATTGGTGAATGTAAAAACGTAGGGTTTACCCCTTTTATCTCGACGAGCCAGGGATCTGATGCTTTACCAAACAACACAGAATTCAATTTCATTTCGCTAGGCCTAAACACACAACATCCGCGTGTGTAAAGAGTACTGATACACGACTTGTGGGCGTATGTACACACACAGTTGCTGTAATATGCACCCCATCCCCAGGCACTCCCTTCCGCACATGTGTGACCTTTGAACCTGTTTCAGTGGGTGTTAAAGGTTGTCTGTAGTTCAAAGTATGCGTGGAGAGGAAGAGTCTGGAGGAAGAGTCTAGAGGAAGAGTCTAGAGGAAGAGTCTAGAGGAAGAGCTAGAGGAAGAGCTAGAGGAAGAGCTAGAGGAAGAGCTAGAGGAAGAGCTAGAGGAAGAGAGGGAGAGAGAGAGAGAGAGGGACCAGGCTATATCAAAAGGCCATCTGCAAGGCTTCAGAATCTGTATAACAGAGGGGGAAGTGAGGGAAGGGAAGGGGAGGGAGGGGGATTGGTGAGGGAGAATTGAGATCAAAGTGTGCATCCTTACAGATTACTCAATTGCCACACCAGTAAGGGAATATTGGGAGGCCCTATGCTGTGTGCCTAAGATGCACGGTCACAAGGGAATGTACATGATGTACATGGGCATCTGCTGTCACTTTTTGGTGTAAATAAACTGCAAGCAATCCTGTGGCTACCAGGACGGTTAAAATTGGGCATGACGTATAGCATGTTGCGATGCTGGAAACACAGAGCAACCAGTCCTAGAAAGCTGTCAATGGCAAACGCTGCTGGCAACAATTCAACCACAATAGACCGTGTGAAATTCTGCTGTGTTTTTCCTGAATACCACACCTATTCGTGAATTTCATACAATCACTTTCAGAAATGTATACATATCAATGTTTTCAGAGGAAGCAAAGAACTGCTCATGGAGTTGCATCTTTACCAGTGACTGTGAACAGTGGTGTGGTGATGCTGTAAGTAGTGTATATGTATACCTTTATTTTTCCTCCTTAAATGCGTGACTGGTGTACCATATGTAGCACCTGATATAGAAATGAGAGAAACCCCCGCGACAACACACGTAGCAGGCTAAATAATGTTTACTGCGAATGTACGTACAATAATATTCATACGCCTGCAAAGTATACACAATAGCATTATCTCCCACACATGCATGTGGCCTATGCATTTCACTGGGGGAATAACCCACCTGGAGATAGCAGCCGGAAACCAACACTCTAACCTTTCCAGCCCACTATATATACACTGTATATACGCTTGGAGGTGAGTGGATTGTGGTATGTACGGTTAACCTAGGCTACAGAAGTGTAACATAGTATGACAGAGTGCTGGTGTAGAATTTGGTATGTTGTGGAGATGATGTGTATACCATGCTGAAGGCTTTGGGAGAGTATCAAAATGACACTGAGAGAGGTTGAATGAAAAGGGGAAGGAAGGTAAACTAATGCTGGTGGGCCCATCTCTTGTGTAATAGTGGGTGTTGCAATGTACAAAGTGCATGTGAACCGGGGAGCATGGTGGGCTCACGTAAGTGTGTGATGGGGAAGAGTGGGAAAAGTAAACAAGCCGTGGTTGACAATACACGTGTATGCACGAACTATTTGAGTCCCAAAACGAGAGGGCAGTGTTGATGGAAGCAAGATGACTCGGTGACGTCAAAGCACTGTGTATATAAACCCCCGTGGTAAACTGGACTGCATGTGACACATTGCTGTCGGGCACCAACAATACTTGTAGCACACACTTTGGTCAAAGCACTCTGCATGCACAAGCAACGGAGCACTTCAATCGCTGTTCCCCTTCCTCCAGATGAGTCCGAAAACATGCCACTGCTTTCAATTCTTGATCTCCATACACACGTGACTAGGTTCTCTCTTCTGCTCAGATATTAATTGTTGACACTTCCGTTCACAGCTTATGCAGCAGCGTCCAGCACCTCAGGTACATCAGCAAAAACCAACCATTAGGAGTTTACTGCGTGCAGCCACTTCACAGGACACTTCCGTCGAACCAAATATGCAGGAAATCCTGTGCATCATCCAGAAGGTGCAAAATGCATCACTTTGCCTTCTACATATGTACCATATGTATACAAACATGCAGTGTCTGGAGGCTTGTATACAGGTGAGCACACTCCAGGTATGCTACAAACCGGATGCCAAAATTCCCCTTGGGTAAAGGGATCCGCTGCTCAAAGTGAAACACACACACGCCAGTATGGCATGCCATACACCAGCAAAGGTGTATAATCATACAGTCAACACTGGTAGGGGAGGCCACCTAAATATTTCACCCAAAGCAGGCCTGCACCGAAGGGTATTATACACATCGACAGACCATGCCTTTTGATTCAGAGCCAAACCAACCATGTTTCCAGTGTGTGCTGTGACTACAGTACAGTACACACTGTCTACCGTCCCACCCAGCATCTTTAAAAAAAGTTGCAATGAACAAAAGTCCTTGGGGTTGGGAGCAAAAGAGATTCTGAAAGCTAACAGCGTGTGTAGGGTCCTGATAACAAACACCAACAAGTAGATAAACTTCACTCCACAGGCACGCAGTTGAAAGCCAGTATACTTACACACCCGACTGCATCTCCATAGGAGTCAAGTAAACACTTTGCACATGTGCAGCACGGCAAGTTTGAAAGATGGTGTGTATGTTACAAACATATGTGTGTGTTTGAGAAGACAAGGGAGAGAGGGAAGGAAGGCACACAGAATAGAGAACCATTGGAGACACAAGAAAGGGGCAAAGAGAGAAAGAAGGGGGGAGAGGAATAAGCCCCGTTTACATGGATACTTTGAACTGGTTTCCAAACCGATTCAATTTTGTCCGTGCAAACGGGGCTATAGAGATAGACTAGAGCAAAAGAGACCTGGCTGGAGACCTTCAGTGAGGCGAGGGTTCTTGGTTCTCTGTCTCTCCCAGCCTGGGGCAGCTCGTTTGGACAGGATCGCCACTGCCTCTGACTGCCGCGACAGCTCCTGGTTCGCCGGCCCAGTCACTACCTCAACGTTCTCAGCAACAGGAGGCACCCCTGGAGACTCGGCCCGCACTTGGGGATCCACTTGCAGCCTCTCCGTCGCTGACAGAGAGGGAGAGGCAAATTAGTGAGCGAGGAAATAAGGCAATACTGTCTATGACTTGGGAGAAAATCTAAAATTATATACTGAGGGGAGGGGAGTGCGTGAGAGAGAGAAGGGACGGAAAAGGCAAGGGAGCTTGCAACGCTGCCATGACCAAACGTGGAGAAAGACACACCAGCTATGTATAGCGTGGAGGGAAAAGTGATACAGTGGCAGTGTTTTGCTTAGTAGAGCAATGTTTCTTTTCAGAGTGAGGTTCTTATGGTCATTGTGTGTGCCACCATAGGAGTTGGGGAGAGCCTGGAGAGGAAACAGACTGTACACATCACGGGAGTCTAAAGAGAGGCCACACGGCACTGCAACAAGTCAGATGTACATGCGGGGGTATGGAAAATGCCAGTTATGAGTACAATGGTCGGTTTTCTTTCTTTCTGTGGTTCTCGCTCTTCAAGTCACCGTATCTTATGCACACACCGGTGCTCCTACGACCACTAAACGGGTGCATATCTTTTCAAAGAAAGCAAATTAAGATTTGGCAGGAGCACAACTCATCACAGCACACACACACGTGCCCTTCCCTTTCCACCCCGCCATTACTGGTAAACACCACCCACCACAGGGAAACCCCATTGAGAGTATGCCACCCTCGGGTGAGAATCGCACGCTGCCACCCCCACTGGTCAAACCCCACCATCACACACACACACACACACCCTTCTATCACGCCTCAACACCGGTGCTGTTATGTACATCTCCTCCTCAAGCATGTGGATAATTCAAACAAAATGCACTGCGTGGCTAGGTTGGTAGGGCAGAGATCACATGCATGTACAGAAGAGTCCCCAGGGCATTCACTAAATTGAGTCGCGGGTGGATTTGGTGTATTTCCCAAATGGACGACAAAATGCATGCATGAAATATATACCAGTGGACTTGTGACCAGAGGTTGGGAGAGTGTCCTGTTGTTTGGTGTCTCCAACTGCTCGGGTGGCCCCCTCACCCCCTCTCCCATCACCCACCCTCTCCCTCGAGAGGGAGGACGGCAGTTCAAGTGACGACTGGCCGTGAGGTAGGCTGACATAGCCGGGATCGGTGAGCGAGGTGCCACCCCCTACATGGACGTCCGTGTCGCTCATCGGGGACATGTCGTCGGACCTCTCGGCGAGTGTCCGTTTCCCTCCCGGGGTGACGAGCGGACTCACCAGTCCCATCTTGTTGATCTGCTTCGAGAGCTGGGTGGTGGGGGTCGGGAGGGAGCCAGCTGCAGGCCCGAGGTTCTTGCCAGTCGCAGAGCCAGCTTTCCCCTCCCCGTACAATAATCCGCGGCGGTTCGGCGGCAAGTTCTTTCTCCGCCCGGACAACTGGGAGAGGCCTTTACCCAGCGCATCCCTTCCCTTGAAACCCAACTTCATCCTCTCACCTCCCGCCTCCGAGCCGAGCGAGAGAGACGAGCTCGTTGAGCAGGGGGAGTCCTTCTCGTCCCCGCCTAGGCTGGGAAAGCCGCCAGAGGAGAGATTTCCGGAAACGTAGGCCTCGTCCATCATCCCTTCTTGGTCTCCCATCTCAATAGGCCGGTGCAGGGCACGTTTGTTTGCAGCGAGACGAGAGGCTGGCGCTGGACCGAAGCTGCCGGACGGGGGAACGGGGAAGAAAGACTTGTGGGGACACTACCGAGCAACGGAGGAAAATCCCTCCGGGGAAAACCCTCTTACCGCTAATCACATTCCCTGTATGTGTGACTACGCAACCAACCGGTCGCTACAAAGCGGCGCGCGCACATTACGTGAAAATATGCGCATGCGCCCACATTCCAAATGGCCACTAAAATACAATGTACGAGTATAAAACTCTACTTTTCTTGAAACAGCGCAGTAAACTAGCTTCAACCAGTCAAGATGTTGAGGGCTCAGTCTCAATGGTGACAGTGTTCAGTACAGAGCTGGCCACTCCGTTTGCTCCAGTGTCTAGCTGGCCAGAAGAAGTAGTTGCACTGAGAACGTTTTGTGCCAGAAGCAGAGTATTGAGTAGGTTGGCCGCTGCTGTGGCAGAGATCCCCTGGGTCTGAGAAGAGAGCATAGAGAGGGCAGGGGGAGGGGTTGGGAGTGGAGTGACTTTGGGGAGAGGTGTGGAGGGAGTGGTGCTGGTGTTGGCAATGGAGGCAAGAGTCTGGACGAGGGAGGTGGGGATGGGTGTGGTCTGAGGGAGAGTCGACAAGTTCGAGGAAGAGAGTGTGGAGAGAGAGGGGACAGAGGCGAGAGTGGAGACCAGCTGGGAGGGAGTGAGACTTGAGAGGTTGTGAGTTCTTGGGGAAGGTGTGAGGGGGACGGAAGGTGTGGGGGTGTGTCCGAGGAGAGGGCTCCCCGAGAGGGCTGGGCGAGGGAGATGAGGAGCTGCTGGGCTGCGGTGTGAGTTGACGAGGAGGGGAGGGAGGGCGTGGGTGGAGATGGGGTGGCAAATAGACCGGTCAGCGGGGAAGACAGCAGCTGACGCGAGAGAGCTGCTGTCTGACTGGAGACTGTTGCGTCGAGGCCCAGCTGGATTATCTGAGCCCGGAGAAAGGCATTTTCCTTTTCCAGGACTGTGATCTGATTCTGGAGCACCGAGAGGGCATTTGCAGACTTCTCAGCGAGCTTGGCGGTGGTGGCGAGCTGGTTGTTCTGGACAATGAGATCCTTCAGATACTCTACAGTCTTATCCAGCACAGTGCCCTTGCTGTACACATACTGTGGTGAGTGGATTCACACACAAACGAAAGGGAAGCAAGTCAAACATGCTCCACCCATAGTATTACATACAAAAACTAATGCTAAGGTACAAGTAGCTCTTGCTTCATCCTCTTTTCCTGGCAGTATGAAGTAGCAGGAGAGGGTTGGAGCAGAGCCAAGCTTGAGACCTACTCCAACAACAATTTTCCAGTGGTGCTGTCTTTCTTCTGGCACGCAGGAACAATCTGGGCCAGTGTCTTGATCATGTCATTGATACGGTCCCTCCTGCGTCGCTCGACTACAAGACAGACAAGAATAAACTACATTACAAGGAACACCTTTGTGGGCATTTGTCCTAATGCACTAATGTATTAGAAGGGTGCAGAACTAAGTGTCTATTGTAGGAGGTTCCCCAGAAGACAGCTTACAATGCACAAAGGCACTTAGGCACTTCTTAGCTCCCCAAACTATTGCATTTGAAAAGTGACCAAAAATCACAAAATACCTTCATTGTGGGTGGCTTTTCTCTGGGCTTCTTTGGTCACTACTACAGCATCCCCCTCAGATCTACAAGGGCAAACAGAGACAGCTGGGGAGTATATACAGGATTCCAGACCCAGACAATTGGTCCCACCACTACTCTGAACACACCTATCCCTCCCACACACAACTACACATCGTACAGCTTCATGCTGGATGAAGACCCTGCAAAATCCCCCCTTCACTCCCCTCCCAATTATTAGCTTTTATGAAACTACCAAGGAATGCATACAAAATGTTGAGTACAGCAGCACAAAAACACAGGCTAGGGAAAATCACGATGGTTTATACTGGCACCCGTTAACTGACAAAGTGTGGGAGTTACACTTATGTAGCTGTAACAATTAGTTAGCTAACAGTGTGGGGACTTCTTTGGGAGCAATGGGGCGAGACTGGCCCATGGCTTGCAGGATCTCAGCACTGCTGGATGGAGGGATCATCACGTACAGTGGACCTGCAGCCAGGAGAGATACAGAGAGAGAATTAGGGCAACAGCAAGAGAGGCAGTTTAGTCCAGCACACTCCTACATAGTGGGAAAACTTTAAAACTACCCATGAAACTATCAGTATATGGACCCCATTAGCCTCTCCATAATCATTCTTTGATTGCTAGTCAAAACGTTCCGGACTCTAGATCTCTCCTGCTGTATAATAATGAGGTGACTCACTGGAGTTTGACTGTGGGAGGTCTCCCTGAGGACTGGTGAGAATTAGCTGGTGGGCGGAGCCTGGCTGGCTGGCCGTAACCCCGCCTCCTGTTGTCTGCATCTGGATGAGAGCCCTGCACAAGTAATGTTCACACATTGTGGAACCAGTTGTCAAAGTATGTATAAATTCCAGCAGTGAGTGACTAAAGGAGTTTGCCGTTGCAGAGACTCACATTTGTGTGCTGTTTGGTCGTGTTAAATTGTAACTTTACCGACAGACCTACGCTGGAAACTACTAAACCAGCTAGATTTCGTAAAATAGAGCACCACATCAGGGAATTGAAAATGATTCTTTTTGCCTCTGCTCTGATCTGCTCTTAGCAAATGGGTGCAAGTGGTTCCTTCAATCTGCTGTCCCCCAATGGACACACCAAGAGTTTGTGTCTCTTCGTTATACCTGCCAATGGCATTGAGAGTCCTCCCATCGGTCTCCCCTGCAGACTCATCACTGGCACCAGGAGAAAAGGCACTCAGAGATGGGAAGTCCTGAAGAGAGAGAGAGTTTTGATCAAGATGTGAAATCTCCAAAATTACAGCTGCAAGGGATTTGCAAAAATGTACACAGCAAGCAGCCTGAGCTCAGTTGCTGCCACCACCCACCTGAGGGGCGGTTGTAATGGCGAAGGCGGGTCCGTTGAGGTCCTGCGGAAGGATCGTCTCGCGCACCACGCCGTCCTCGTCCTCCACCGACCCGCTGTTGATCTCGATCTCGAACTGGGTCTGCGGAACCGTCAGGTGGTGCACCTCCTCCTCGCCCGACCCCGTCTCCTCCCTCACTGCTATCTCCGTCACGGGCTCTGGCGCGAGGTCCGCCGTGGGCTCGAACCTCGCGCGCTTTGCCGCGGGTGGCTCGGTCGAGAGCTCGATCCCTCCGCCACCTCCCCCCGGTTCAAAAGTGGCGCTTCCACCGACTTCAGTCATGATGATGCCGCCGCCTCTTTTCTCTACCTGACACTCACGAGTCTTCTCGTTCGGCTCCTGACGGTCACATTAGATCTGGACGATCTGATTGGACAGAAGGCAATTGATGGTCACGTGATCGAAATTCGGCACGTGTAAGGGCACGTGCGCGCAAAGGGCCTTTGTAAACGCGCATGCGCATTATTTCATGAAAATTTTGCAGCAGTTTCTTGCGAGCAACAATGAGTACACCAACGCTAACGTAAATTATCTACTCCTTTTAGCTGGTCATAATAATGTTTCTCTCTCAATGCATGTGTAGGCCCTCACTACAACCCTTGGCTTGTGAGGCTGACAACAAAGAACAAGAAGAGCCAGGTCAAAGAAGAAAAGATGCGGAGTTCCACCAGTTTGTGTGTTTAGTGGTCAATGTTAGTGTATAACAACTCTGTTTGCATGCATGCTTGCTTACTACCTTCCACTTTTATAGACCACATTTTTCAATGGTCTAATAATGGTCACCATCTTGCTCAACTGCATTACCATTGCATTGGAAACGACCTCTCTGCGAACCTCCGTCCCAATGTTCTTCACTGCCACCGACGCAATATTCCTGGGCATGTTTGTCGTTGAATTTGCCATGAAGGTATAACGACACATTCATGCCTGCCATGCCATGCAATATAGCCGGACATATTGCCTGCCATGCCATGCAACATAACCGGACAAATTACACACTAACATTCATGGTGCACCTTATTTCCCTGAGACAAAAGTGTGATGCAACTTAAACATTGAAGTTGCACGACACTTTTATCATAAAAGTTGCACCATGTATATGTCGGCCCTTAGCGTCTCAGGCTTATTATTCCTAACTCCTCCATGGAGGTGTATGCTCAACCTGTGGACTACTGGAAGAACTACTACAACATGTTTGACTTTGCCATTCTGGTGGTGTCTTTCATCCATGAGATTCTCCTGGGAGTGGAGTTGGGTGGCACCGGAGTCACCTTCCTTCGCATGGCCGCCGGTCAGTCACACACATACTGCACCATGAAGCTGGAATCTTTAGAGAGAGGGAGAGTACTTTTTGAGGCTTTTCTTTTGAGGCTTTTTTATTGAGTCCGTAGACCCTCTTCAGTCAACGACAGCATAGTTGTCATTACTCTCTTAAAGTTCACAAATCGCTTGTAAAAGTGTCTCTAAAATGAAAGTGCTAAAGCTTCCTGCTGTATATACAGTAGAATTTGATGTTTGTCCTGCAGTGCTGAGGGCAATGAGGACCCTGAGGTTCATCTCCTTCCTGAAGGGACTCCAGGTCCTGGTCACTGCCCTCATTGAAACGTTCCGGAGCTCCGTTCTCTACCTCCTTCTCCTCCTCCTCATCATCATGTTCCTCTTTGGCATCATGGGCTACTACTTCTTTGGCTACGACCAGAGAGGAGACAAGGAGAACTGGGGGACACTGGGCCTCGCATTTCTCTCACTCTTCACCTATGTTACGGTCAGCTGTTGAAAATCCTATGACTGTAGTTAATTCGTGATTCTGTGTTCTAGGCGGATGGTTGGACCAAGCTTCAAGATGAACTGAGCTCCCATGGATTCAGTGGCAGTGAATTCTTCACCATTGCATTTCTCTTTCTTGGACACTTCATATTCACGAATCTCTTTATTGGAGTCATCATCATGGCAAGATAGCCAGCGGGTTGTCTATTTACTCAGACACCTGTCTCTTTTCAGAACATCCATTCGGCGACTCAAAATTTCGAGGAGGGCCAGAGACGAGAGAAAGAGAAGTTTTTCCAGGTTAGTGGCTGTCCAAGTTCAACTAACATATGGTATATAGTCAGAGACTGTCATAGACTGTCATTGAGATATACATAACACGACGTTTCGACCTTTCGGTCTTCGTCAGGTGTGTGTGAGAGGGAGTGTGCAAACAGGCCGTTTTATACCACGGATTCACATAGCAACTAGTCTGGTGTCTGACTAGCGAAGATTCAGTCCTGTTAGCAGTTTGTCCGTTGCTAAGTTAGAGATGCTTTACCCAATATCAATGGCATCACTGGGGTTCTCAGACTGTTAGGTGTCTAGATTCATCCCTCCACGATGTAATTGCTTGATCCAGTAGCTCTCCCGCTTTTTTCTTTTTTCTCGGATGAATAATAATATACTGTCAAACAGAGTAAGAAGGAAGCTATGATCAAGAAGCAGCACGGGGATGTGTTACAGCTGCTGGAAACACAGGTACAGACAAATTGATGCAGTGGAATGTATTGTTAAGGACACCTCTGTTGTGTCCCAGCATGGGTGAAACCACATGCACACTCTAAATAAATTCTAAAAGGGCTCAAGTTTTCAACAAGTGACACTTCGTTTTCATTGTCTAACTTTGTGCAGCACTGTATTTTGATTGTGTCTTTCAACTGACATGTGCAGAGAGCAAGCAACTTCACCAACTTCCAAGAGATGACTAAGGAGTTTCAGAAGACTCTGAGGCACGATGACTTCAGCATCACCACTGACCTGTGCTCCAGTATCACCTGGATGGAGACCATGATGGGCTCCCTTCTCCACCTCCAAAAGAGCAAACACAGGTATAGACAGAAACTATTTGGACGAAGTAGCTACCGTAACCCTCACTTCACATGTGCGTCAAGTGTTAATAATACCGCACAGCCTGAGAGAGAAAAAACTTCCACAATTCAGTGGCAATCACAATTTAGCTTTCACATACCCTCACCAACATACATTTGCAAAAAAACTCTCAAACTGTAAGAGTTGGTGTTGAAATTGCCCCAAAAAACCTCCAAGAGCATGATTATTAAGCAGTAAGTTCATCCTGCCGCTTTATATACTATAATATACTCGTCTAAGGATACAACAGCTGCATTTTGAGTTGGCAGAGACACTGGCTGAGCTGAAGGAACTGGAGCTCAGAGAACACCATGCAGACTCCTGACTATTATAGTCTAACTCCAATTAGTGTAAACATCTGTATCTAAAACCATGCATACAGCTATTAACGATGATGAAGTGATGATTTATGATCTGCAGCAGTATAATCATAGATTGGAGGTATTACTAGCGGTTAATCAATTCTGTTGCAGAGTGAACTTCAGCTCCTTATATAAGGGACTACTTCCGGTTCATGAACATTACTTATTAATTTTATCACTTTCCAGGGCGTTTTATGTGCATTTTGTGCGAGTATCTCCCATTCCATTTCAGTATGACTCTTATATCTACAACCACAGAAATTAATACAAACGACAGTGAAAAGTGATGAATCATAAATACAGACAAAAAATTTGGTGGTGAGAAGTATTCAATGATGTGATAGCTGCAGCAGTGCTAGTATATAGAGAGGAGGTGCTCCTATGCAATAACAATTCAAGCGTCTGTTTCAAAGTTAACTTCAGGAATTCCCTCGAGGTCCACGCTGGGCCTGGAACGACGCAGGTTCAGAGAACTGACAGAGAAGGGAGACAAGGGGAGCGAGGGGGACAACTGTTCGCTGAGGCCAGGCGAACTCCCGCCATTTTCAATCAGGTCGGGAGATGTGTTGCTGTGCCGACGGTTGTCCTGATCATCCCCCATTGATTGAATACCCTCCTGTAATGATTGGGGAGAGACTTAGTATCCAAAAACTTGGTTCTTAATTCATAGACAATGGAGTACGAGAAGGGGGCAAGGCTAGGGGTTAGACCAGACGATGCAATATGAAAACATGTACTTTCTTGAGATAAACAGTGATTTAATTACCAATAACTTAAAGGCAATAGCGTAAGAGGAGCTGGTCACATATAGAGGCTATCGGTGTCAAAGGAACAGCAAGAATGCAACGTGTTTGATAATATTATGGCCAGACAGGGGCTTGCCTGTTTGCACAGGATCATGTTCTGGATGCGCTCCAGGATGGAGCTGAAGGTTGGCCTGAGATTGGGGTTCAGGTCCCAGCACTCCATCATCAGCTCGTACCTGGGGCGAGCAGGATAACCACTCAGGCAGTGAAAGCATACAATGGCACATACAGTGTTGGACTGAATACAGTGACACACACAACAATGTCATGCATTGGACAGTGAGGACTGCAGGGAAGCGGATAGTTGACTCACAGTCTGCCAGAGCAGTTTTCCGGTGCCTGCGGACGCTGGCCGCTCTTGACCATCTCCGAGAGGGTCCGGTTGGGGGTGTCGGCAAATGGGATGTCCCCGAGACTGCTCACCTCCCACACTGTCATTCCAAACCTCCATCTGTATACACACACAATAATATGCCCTGTAACAGGATCTATAAACGTATTAGTAGGCAAAGTATTTGGCAAGTGGGTGCAAGCCTATGGAGCACAGGGGGGAATAAAGCACCATTAGACACGTGTGTAATGCTGGAGGAAAACCAGCTATATATAACCTCAGCTAGGCCAGGAATTGAAAAGTGAAGAGCATAGAAAAGGACTAGGCTTAGAGCTAGAGATAACTAGATGGCTGCAGAAACACAAAAAGTTGTGCGTAACCTTCGGTTAGTTCACTGCCACTCACCAATAAGCACTATAATGCATGCAGTCTGCCAAGAATTGATCATGTTAGAGCAAATTACTCCCAATAGAATTATTGCGTGTATTTCGCTTGCTCAAGGCAGGGAGTATTGTACCATAGAATTAACGGCTGCCTAGTGACATGTTAACAGTGTTATTTGCCAAGATAATATACTTACACTTCAGTCTTCTCCGTGTGCTGGCCCATTTCCATCACTTCGGGGGCATCCCACTTGAAGAGATTACGACCCTACAGCAATTCACAGACACCCCGTATATAGAAAGACGTAAAAACACACTCAAAATCCGAGGGCTGGTATAATGCTTACACTAGCAGTTCTCTTGAGCTGCCTCATGGAGGGCTCTCTGTGTCTGTTTCCATTGTCGGTGTAGATGCCAGTCAGCTTCAGGTAGAACTCGGAACCAATCATCAGATTCTCACTGGACAAGCCCTTGTGTAGTATCTGGAGCACAGCACGGAGAGTTGGAGACAGTATGCACAGTTATTGGGAAGAATTACATATCGGGGAGGTCAAGAGAGAAAGAAAACTGTTCAGCACACTGAGCTATAGGAGAAAAGCCTGTCTTTCCCTTCCTTATAGTGTACAATAGTTCTCCGTATCCATTGGCTATTGTTTGCTGGGTCAGTCTCTTAATACAACACAGGGGGGAGGGAGACAAGAGGAGGAACAACCTCGTTACGAGTGCATTGCCCAGGGATCCCCCACAATGCATCAGTAACAATACAGTTTGGCATAGTTCTGACACAAGAGTACTTTTACGGATGGGCTCGATTTCACCTAGCGCAATAATACCTACACATACGGTAGTACAAGCCTCTCGCAATAAATCTCTTGGTACAGCCACAGTCTGTATATATGGTGCAACTAGGGTAACATCCCAACGACACCTAGTAACACATTCTTTCCCATATGAACTACGTATATAAACTTCGACGCCAGGCAATGCTCACCAGCAGTACTTCATTCAACCTGAACCGACTAACGCAACTGGTAAACACACGTAGCATGGACGGAGCACGGCATTAGCAGTAATAAACACTTAGACGCTCTGTGTACAAAAATGCCAATGCCCACACATGCATCACACGTCTTATCTTCCCGTTCAATAATGGAATGCTACCAGCCCCTTCCAGGCAAGACTGACACATTAGGCACACCTATACACAGCCTCCCCCATGTCCACATAGTGTACCACACCGTGTACACCACTCCCCCAAGTCCTCCCACAGTGTCTCACATTCCTCTGGATGAGGTGGTCCATGGCGGAGGCTATCTGGAGCGCAAACAGGAGGAGGTCAGTGTCGGTGAAGGTCAAATTGAGCGGCCGGGAGTACGGATTGCAGCGGACTTCAGCGTCGGCTAACAGGGAACACAGATTGGCCATGTCACTCCGAACCACCTGTGTAGATAATTGACCGACATTGCACAGTGAGAGGGGTGCCTTTTAAGACTAAGTTTTTTGAGTCACGAAATATGTTGTTGGCTACCCAATGCCAGAGAAACAGGTTATGAACATGGGTTATGAGCGACGTAAAAACAATGGAAAATGCTGACCAGCAGATTTCGCGAATCAAAACTTGTCGGGGTGTATACACATAATTACGACGTTCTAACTGCATAATGTCATTGTACGTCACACGTACAATGCTATGAAGAGAGCAATAAACAAGATACACGACTGCAAATTAATGAGGTTAACAACTGCAAGCAAATGCAACATTGAGAGAAAGAAAGAGAGAGAGAGAGAGAGGGAGAGCTGGTTCTGCAGACCTCTGCCACTCCCTTCTCGCTGTCTCTCTGCAACCAGCCGTGCCACTGCTTGCTGTTTCCGGACAGCAGACATTTTCTCTTGAGGACCAGGAACGAGTGGAGCCTTCCGTGCAGCGGGTACTCCAGCATTACTGCCTGAGGAACACCTGCAGGTCACAGAGACAGAGAGAGATTTCTCAGGCTTCCCACAAAATGCAAGGGAGAGGTCTTCGGTCACTATTTTTCATATAAATCACAGTTTACCTCACGAAAGCACATGCTGTTTGTATTCCATTGTCTTTCCATTTCTAGTTTAACCCCTAGCCCTACCCCCTTCTCGTATTCCATTGTCCATGATTTTTTTATGAAGTACATAAGAAAAATGATTTTGCCACACATTACTAACACAGAGCCTGACACTGGTGATCACAAATCACCGGCTTTTACAGCACATGCATACCAGGTTTTGCGCTCGACTCAAGCCACCTAAAATATTTGAACCCCCTCACATTTTTGAGGCTAAAGGCAGGTTCCCTAATTATATACAAGCTCTAGCGTGGTGTTGGACACTGTGTGACACACCTCCACTGTTGCAGACCCCAATGAGGTTAAGGAGGTGAGGGTGAGGAGGGATCCGAGAGAGAGTGGCTATGTCAGCCTTCAGACACGGAATGTGGGCCTTGGCATCCAGGGCTACGATGAAACGGGCGAGAGCAGTAGACATTGAGTTTCAGAGAGCAACACACGTGTGCACAGCGTCTTCTTACCACTGATCTTTTTTATCAGAACCAGTTTGCCTATCATTTCCTTTCTGGATACCACGGACGGAATCCTGACTTTCCACATGTCCAGACAAGAGAGAGAGGAGCCCAGAGCAACTGCAGTGAAAAATGTGAACCACATTAATTTCTTCTCGCTCTTCCTTCTCCTGATATTTTCACCGTCTCTTCCTACTTCTTCCACTTTCTATTCTCCCCTCTGCTCACTCAACAAAAGCAAACACAAGTCATTGTACAGTGAATTTTCCTCACTCCTGCACTCAACTCCCTCTTTCCCTGCACTTCCCTGCACCCCACCCCTCCCTCATTCCTTTCTTTCTCTTCCCCTTTCTCTACTCCTTTTCCCCCCTCTCCTATCCCCTCTCTCTCTCTCTCTCTTCTTTTCTCTTCCTCGGTCTCCCGAACGAACCCTCCTCCCCGACCCACTTGTCTTCTCCATGTCCTTGAATTTCTCCAGTGGGCACTCCACCTGCCCGACTGGCCCGTAGCTGTTGACACTGTTAGTAGTAGTGGACTCAGAGGAGCTGTCCTTTGTGCCCATGAGTGTCATCGGCTCCTCCTCGGGGATCGGGATGCCACGAATGAACACAGAGGACTTGTGCTGGAGCTCAAGCAGTGACCTCACAGTTGGTTGCTGTGTGGGTTGTGTTTACAACAGCAAAAGAGAAGGCACTGTTAACTGCATACATAGCAAGAGGTATATACGCTAATAATAATTATGCTTTATCCTGTTATAGTACGTGGAGGTATATATAAGTTGGGCAACTGCATGGTGGTTGGTTCGGTATTTCTCTACAGACTTGCAGTTTTACTAACACTGGTATAAGTATACCCTGAGGAGTTTACTAGTCTGATTGCCAGGACCATTCTGTTTATTCATGGCAATACCATTCCTGGAAGTATTCATTTCCCCCACTATTCCCTGGAATCATGTGTGTAAACTGGTGTATATCGTATCTGGTAAAAAGTGCAGGCCTCTACGTGTTTACAGCGGTCCAACGCTGGAACCCAAGTGTCACCTGGTCCAGCCTACACAGATTGACTAATGAAAATACACCTCCAGGAACTCCACGCATACCATACACAATCCCCAGTACATGCTGTATCTGCCACAACCTGCACGAAACACATACAACCAGCCAGCAAGGCTTTAATATTATAATATAGCCACAAGTGGGCCAGCCCTGAGGCCTCGCCACATGAAAGACCTTCTAACTAGCAGTGTAATAAGTTCACGTGTGGGACACAGGAGCCCACGAAACAAGTTCACACACACACACACACGTACACACACGGGGTGTGTTCTCACCCTACGCTTCCTTCGCTGTTTCTGGCAGTACTTGGAGAGGAGGGCAAAGGCCACGCAGGGCACGACAAAGACGGCGACGAGAAGAAACCCCACGAGGATGGAGTAGCGTCGGACCTCGTTGGAGACGTCCTCTGCTGTCATCTCAATCTGGACCACCATCTGGTTGGGGAAATACACACACACTAATGTACTATCTATGCAACACCTCGTTCACTAACATACTAACAGCACCGTATATACACTGTGGGGAAAAAACACACGACGCTAGAAAATCTATTCTGCTTACACAACGTTCACTGAGTTCCTCCTATCGAAGGTAGCTACTCCACGGGGTTGAAATACGCTCGCAGGTTCCTTGTAAGATAATGCAGGAAGCAGGAATGCTACTAGGTACACGCCCAGATCGATGATCGATCGTCCAGAAAATATAGAGCGCGCACATGCCGCAGTGCGAACGCGAGCGCTACAGCTTACGTACGTTGGATACGTTTACTCTCCTGGGCTCGGCAAATCCAAAAGGGCCAGCAGTTACGTCTCACACCTATAGCGTAGCAGTCCTACTGCTTCTCAGATGGTAGCCAGCCAGCAGCAAATGCGCAGGTATAGGCACTGGCATGCTTTGATCTCGCATCATACGCGCAGCGTAGGTGTGACGCGCGCACAACAGTTCTATGAATGATGTCATCTCAATTACCTTTGTATGTGGGGAGCTGAAGCTAGCAGTGCGTGCAAGGCGGTGGAAGGAGCGACGGACTGATAGTACTATGGACGAGGTTGACGTGGATTCGATACTGCACGAGGTGGCGCTTTCTCTGCCGTCCGTACAGGTGCCTCAGTCGTTGCAACCGCTATACAGGCTATTCTATTTAGTGCGCATTTGTATACATCCTCGATCAGCTGTCTGCCTCTGTGAAGTAGCCGGCTACACCCTCAGACGAATATCGTGCCACTGGAAACACTTGTCCGTCAATCTGTGGTTGTGTTTGCATGTATACAAGCATAGGTGAATGATGATCGCCATGTAAACATTCACCACAGCTTTCACCTGCCTCTTTCCTACTATCCGTTGACCTTGTAATGAACAATGTGCAGTTATATTGTTGAAAGTTGTGTGTGTAGCAATTATACGATAAAATAATGATGTACAACTGGGATTGCGTGCACCTTTTTCATCATTGTCCTTCTAGGAAGAAGGTGTTCTGCCTGAGGAGATGGATAAAGGGGAAGAGGGGGAAGAAGAGGGTGGGGAGGTTCCTGTCTTTAGTCGGGCAAACCACTTCCGCTCACTGGGAATCTATGAAACCGACACCACTTTTGGGACAATGAGTGGCGGTGTTGACATTGAAACACAGGGCGGGGACACGGATATCCCTGCAGACAGGAAAACAAACAATGCCGGTTTTGAATCACGGACCGGGAAACAAGGCGGAATTGAAACCAGTGAGCGTCTGGTTCCCGATCCAAGAGGTTGCGGGGACACGGAATGGCACCAGTTCAAGAGTGACTTCATGCAGCGGCTGGAAGACCAGGGTCTGGAGAAGGTGAAGGAGGATCAGGCGAGCCCCGAGAATCGCCTGCCACTCGAGGCTCTCTCTGAACTACTCTCAAATGCCGTTGTTAATCCAGACCCCATTATCCCACAAGTCACTAACCTTCACGAGGATGGGGGCACTCAGTCCAACGAACGGGACGGAGAAGACAGACAGGGACCTGCAGGAGCCGATGATACACAAACAGCCAGAAGTACCGACAACCATAGTGGCATCCTCTCCACTGATCTTCTAGCAGAGATCAACGTGGCAGCTCTCGATAGGGCACTCCAGCTTGTAGATGCTGAAGGAGTCAGCGGAACTTCGAACGAATCTGAAGCAAATCATCATCGTCAGCCTAAGACTGCCTGGGAAGAAAGTGAGGGTGGTACCCCTGACCTAATGAACCAGTTAGCAGAACTCAAAAATGGCATAGAGTTGCAAACAAAGGAGAGGAGGACGATGTGCAAGCGACAGTCGAGTGAACCGACACTGCATGGTGTTCCAACAGAGACTGGCGGACACAAGAAGTCTGGCGGGAGTGAAAGTGAAGAGAAAACGGTCTACATTGATCTCAGACAGCCAACACCAAGGATTGCTGCACTGCCGTCCCAGAGCCAGTAAGCACAACTGAATGTATAGCTACACAAGTGTGACCGTGTCTATTGTTGTGCCGTGTTGCTATTACAGGTCTGTTTCCGAAAGTGAGGAGAGTGACGACCAAACATCGTGGGCTCAGAAACGCAGAGAAATCAAGTCTTCACTTTCACCCACCTCCCTAGGGCCAGAGAGAGTGGTGGAGATAGCTGGTGGGAGTCCCAACCACACTTCCTTGCCTTTAAAACCACCACAGCCTCCAAACTCCCCCCAGGAACTAGTGGTAAGAAAAGCCCACGACTGGCAGACGGTCGATTCAAAAATGAAAAAGAGGCACAAAAAGACGACAGATAAAACCAACGGTGAAAAGAGTGACATTGAGAAGAAAGGCTCCTCAGGGGTTACGGTGGAAACAACAGTTCCTGTGGAAGGTGCAAAAGGCGTGCTTTTGTTAGACGTTGGGTCTCTGGACGAATCTCCGAGTGCCTCTTCAGACTCAGCACTGCAGTCCAGTAGCTGCAGCAGCATTCAGAGTGAACCTCCTGCCAATGCTGACAACACTGTCCTTACTGATACACAGCATATTGCTGCTGGAAGACGAAATCATACTTCAGGGTCCTTCACTGTCTCCTCAGAACTGTCCAGCTTCTCGGAAGGCGAAACGTCTCCAACTAAATCTGTTCCAGCTGCCGGGATAGAGTCAGCAATGAGCAGCAATGCTGGCTTAAGCCACAAGGTTGATGAGGAGAAGAAGACGAAGAGTAAGAGGAAAAGAAAAAAGAGGGGAGCCAAGAGTGGCCTACAAGACGAGGTATTCGAGGCTCAGAAAAATCAAGACAGCAGCCCGGAATTGGGAAGAGCTGAATTTGGGCCTAAAAAGGAGGAGGAGAAGGAGGGAGAGAGGGCAAGAAAATTTGAAACAAAAAAGAAAGAAGGTGGTGCAAAATCGAAGAAGAAAAAGAAAGGCGATGCTAAGAGAAAGAAGCCTACTTCTATGAGGATACGATTTGACAGCCTGACAATGAGCAGCGATGACGAGAGAGGGATGGATTCGCCCTGTCTCCCCCGCGTGGAGGAAGTGACAGAACCGGTGCCGGAGAGTAAGGAGGAGAGCCAAGAGAGACAGAGGCAGAGACTGGAGCACAAGATCCTGTCCAAGAAACCGCCGGCCATGTTTGAAACCCCTGCCACAGAGCCACTGTTTCACAAGGTTTGTGAAAGATTTTGTACATATGTCAATGGTTGGGGGAAACCTGGATGGAACTGTCAATGCCTATACGGTACATAACAAATGTTTTGGGGTACTGCAATTTCCAGTGGAGCACCCCATTTAGGGGGGATGGGCAATACCATGTTGTGGGGAGAAGACACAAATTTGAAGGTTCTAGATACAAGGAAAAGACCTATGATCATAGTGAGAGATAGGGGGAAAAGAATAAGGTTAGAGCGAGATAGGTGGAATCTTGGTTCATTTTGATTGTGAATACGTGTGTACATTTAGTACCTTTCCTGTTGCAGGATGTGTCATTCTCTCCAGTCATCACTCACGTGTACCCTTCATCGAGCACTGATGCCCTGCTGGTGATGCCACTGTCATCCGCCCACGGCCTTCTCTCCCTACCGCCCTCACACCCTCACCTCTCCCCAGAGGCACACCTGGACTTGCACTCCCTCCTTCTCACCTCCCTTACCGTCTCTGCTGCCAGCAGTTTCCTCTCACCGCCCACCGCAGCCACGTCAACTGGGAAACATGGCGGACGAAGCTCAAGTCCACTCCACAGCTCAACAACCAAACTCCCATTTCGGATCACGGCTCTCTATCAGACTGTACTTGACGGCCAACTCTCCGTGCTCATTGGAGTGTCTCTACCGCAGGGGAGGAAGCGGAGTATGAGTTACCCGAGTGTCGCCCACCATGGTCTAAGAAAGTCGTCAAGATCAGCTGGCGCCATTCTCTCTCCCCTGGACACGCCGCGGAGCCCGTTTGCATTGGAGTTGGATGGGATTATCTGCCGACTTAGGCTGAAGGATTTGCTGGGGGATATCATTGAGGGTGACACAGGTGAGACCAATCGCGAGCAAGACACAGGTGGAGATGCAGAGAAGGTTGTCGTCTCTCAGGAAATTCACAATGAGCTTCGGCCCCTGCTGGACATGTCCGCACAGGCTTTCTTTTCGGTCCACCCTGACACCGAACCCCTGGTGACACCCACTAGTTTCTACTGGCACAGTTTCTACCAGCCCTCCTGCCTCCCCACTCGCGAGGCGCTCTGCACTCCAGAGGTCGTTCAATCCACCGTGTGTGCCCTCCCCTTCGACTCCCTCTCAAGGCCCAGTCTGGTGTTTAGTGCTCTGCACGGTGCCTACGACTTTGGCCTCAGCATTGCAGGGTTGAGACTGGCGTACGGGGAGTCGTGCAGTCCTCTTGACCTCCCTCGTCCCTCCACCACTGATGACACCATCACCGACTTGTCAACATCGCTCGTGATGTGTCTGCGAGGTCCGGACGCCGTGAGTCGCTGTATGGACCTCGTGGGCCCAGAGCACCACCGCCTGGCATGTGTGACCGACCCACTTTCTCTCATGGCCAGGTACGGCGACCCCCATCACCAGCCTGTGCACTGCGTCCGCACGCCCTTCCGTGCCTCTGCGGCTCTTGCGAGATGGTTTGGAGGTCGTGGCTGCCTTGACACGGGTACCGTTCTTGGCATGACAGACCCGCGCACACGCAGCGAGCGGCGCAAGCGGCAGAGGGTGCGGTTCTCTGAGAGCGAGTTCGAGTCTGAAGACAACCTCCCTCCACTCACACCCGATATCACATTCCCCCCACTGGTCCCCAGCCAGCCCCTCCTCACCGTCCTTCCTTACCAAGAGCTCCTTCTTGTCGCTTCTCCCCTCTTACCTCCCCTCTGCTATGGCTCCATCCTGGCCACATGCAGTAGACTTGGGTTCGATAATTCGGGAGTGAAGCGAGTGAGGCTCAACTCCAAGCGTGCAGCTGCGCTGGACATCCCAGAGCTGCTTGTCTCCCATTTCACTCCTTCCTCTGCACCTCCGTCTCCCAACGTTGCCACCTTCTCCAACCAGCATCCTCTTGACGCGAAGCCTCCTCTCGACATTCCCCCACTCCCATCCCTGCTGCTGGTCGTGTGCAGGGAGAATGCACTGGTGCTCAGCCGTGCCCTAAAGACTGCCATCTTTTCTGACCTAAAATCACTGCTCTCCCTTAATCCTCACTTGAATGACCGCATGTCTCTGCACCACTCACTAGGGGCTCTTGTGCACACAGTCATTTACAGCCCGGAGAAGACAAAAGTGCTTGGGGAGTTTTCAAATGTGGCAGTCACCTCTGTTTCATGTCTCCCCCAGCTGGCTCCCGAGTGGGAGAAGGAAGGAGAGCGGTACAGGGAGGAGATCGCCTTCGTTGCTGTGACACAGCCGTCTGGCCTCCCTCGAGCTGTTGACCTGCTCCAGATCTTGTCTGGTGTGAAGGCAGAGAAGACATTGAATGGGGATAGAGAGAACTCAGAGGATCAGGATTCAGAGATGGGAGACGTCGGCGGCTTCGAACTGCTTGGGATAAAACTGATCCCCCAGCTCTCCCGCTTCCATGCCAAACAGCTTTGCCCGGTCCACTCGACAGATAATTCCTATCAAGAAGCAATAGAGGTGCTTTCCAACAGCCCGGCCCTTGTCATGGTGCTCCGCGGCATTTCCTGCAACAGACATCTCCAGCAGTTGCTCACACCAGCTCACCCGACTCGCAGCGTGTTGTCCCACCGTTCTCTCTCCCACCTCTCCCTCCTCACTTCTGACACACTCCCCCGAGCCTTCCACTATACAACGCTGTTCTTCGTCGACAAGGAACTGTTTTGTGACCCCCACAGCTGGCCCCTGCTTAGTGCCGTGCCTTCCGCCTGGGCTCGTGCCGATGTCCTCAATGACCTCCAGCAGCCACCGCGGTCCCTCTACTCTGTGCTAGTGGTGAGGGGTGAGGAGTGGAGGCTGCTGGTGAAGGCGGTGGACAGACTCCACAGAACAGGGTTCAAGGTGACCGGACTCACCATGAGGCAGCAGGAAACTGGAGAGGATGCTGTTACTCCTACGAACTCTACCACTGTAAGATACTTCTCAAAATAGCGTTGCCTATGCTCGTAGTACTCCACTTGGTGTGTGTCTGTGTGTGTGCATGCAACTTACTTCTTCGGTTATTCTGTCCCCAGAGTAAGGGTCCAGAGGTGGCTGTGTGTGTGTCGAGACCAAATGCAGTATGGTACTTGAACCACGAGATGAAGCCTTTCCTGTCCTCCGCACACAATCGCAACAAACTGCACTGTAAGAGCCGACGAGCATGGTAACAGTGCAAAGACTGCTACCCTACTCCAGGTCCATCTGCATTCTCTGATGCGGTGTCTATGGTGAAGCAGTACTTCCCCAGAGGGTTGTGCTCAAAAGTTGAAACCTCTGACTATGGAGTCAGTCAGCCGTTGAAATCTCCTCATGATCCATTGTCTCCCGTCCTACCTCAGGTCAAATCAGGATTAACGGATGAATTCTCTGGGCTAAGACATGTGCCACCCCCTCCTCCTACGAGCTCACTCATCACAGAGATCACGTGTCTGATCCTTCCACCCCCCACCTCTCCCCTACCCCCACTCACCCCACACCCCACTACCTACAGCTGCTTGAACTGGCAACTCAGGCGGGCTTCTCCGTCACTGGCATTCAACTCACTCACCTCTCACACAGCTCGGTCGCTGCTCTGGAAACACTCGGTGTGGACAGTAAGGTACATAAGAGGTCATTCCATGCTCTCCCTTGACATTGTGCTATTTTGTGTCTCACAGGGTCTGGCATCTGGGCCTTGTCTGATATTGGGCCTTCTGCGAGACAACGCCGTCTCCTGCTTCCACTACATTCTCAAGAGGTTCAAACTTTAAGCACATCATAATCCATCTTACAGTACCGATCGACAATCGTCAAGCTTCTGGTTCTGGTCATGTTTGTGTTAGTGCCTTTCAATGCTCTTAGCTTTCAGGTTTCTTCCAGGGTTTTGTTTCCTAATGTCAAGTGTCATAATGATTATGCATAGCAATCTACTACTAGTGACAACTACCTTGTCTCGGTTTCTCTCTCTCTGTCTGCAGTGCTGCAGCCCAGCAATCCTCAGTGAGAGGCGTGGGTAGTACTGGTGTGGATGTGGAGGAGCTGCTGAGTGGAGCAGTTGTCCCTGACACCCCCAGGACAGCTGCAGCCATCATGGCCGTTCTCTTCAAAGAAGAGTAGCTTCCATCTCCTATATAGTCATCTGGTGATTATCTATCACAGACTCCCAAGTTGTATGTTTGTACAGTCATGTATTAGTCTACAGTCAGTTGTCTGTCCCTTCATTATCATCTTCGTGTAAGATTGTATATACAGTTTTAAAAATAAATCACTGGTGATATAGAAGTAAATATTGGCGTAGTGCTCATTCAAGTTATGCTTTTTTCTGCATTACATAATGTTTAACACTGCGTCAGGCACCCTAGTGCAGAATCACCATCATTTTGTCTACATTATTTTGTTACAGCAACTTCAAGCATCAGTTGTAGAAGCCTGAAACGTGGACTGACATACTGCATGCCAACGCTCAACAAATCAGTTGTTAAAAATAATTTAGCTACCATGATCGGTGGTTAAGTAAGAGGAAAACGCTGACTGCAGTGGAATAATTTAACTTCTAATGAGAGACAAGTCTCCTAGTAGGGGAAGAAAGAGCAGGGGTTACAGCTCCCCTCGTGGAGTGCCCCGTGTAGGTGACGTAGGTAGAGCATCTGTAGGTACAGTGGAGGGGGAGAGAGGGGGGTGGGGGAGGGAGATGATGTGCCTCATTAATGCTCAGACTTACCCCACCTAGTCTATGAACAAACAAATATTAGAAACTGCAATTTTTAGTGTACTGCGCTCGCTGGTCACAATCCAGGAGAAAGTATGTGTTGTTCTTGGCCCTTTGCAAAAGTTCTCTATCTGCCATTGTGCAAATATTCCCTCTTTCTCCAATTTTGAAAAATTTATCCGCAGTGTATATACCCCGCAGGCGCGAAGGTGGTGCTAGCCTTGCTTGTGTGGACTTCTGACTGACCTTCACTGGGAGTCTCGTCAGGTGATGCTGACTCATCACCAACTGTGGGAAGGTCTCCATCGGCTGGTGGGAGTTCCAGTGGCTCTTCCGCTTCTCCCTCCTCTCCCTGTCCCCTCTCCCCTTCTCCCCCTTCCCCCCCACCTCCATCACCCCCATCTTTAGCCTCCTGGGGACAGTATCAAATTATTGTCGTGATGAAAAAGCAGTATAATCCCTCAAAATCAAGATGTCAACAACTAACCATTTATTTGGACCACTATAGCTCTCAGTCCTTCTCACCAAAGAACGACAAGCACCAGAAAAGAACTAAGTTATCCTGTCTTTCCCCAAAAAAAGAGTGTGTGTAACAGAAACTGAGGACCTCAATGGGTTTGTAAGTAAGTTGAACACTCTACAGTTCACAAGTCTTAGCTACTGCTATTACATTATACCACCACAAAACACAGACGTACACATACCTCAGGAGTCTCGGGGGTGGTACTATTTGTGCCATTTGTGGTGGCGTTGGACGAGGGCTTCGGTTTAGGCAGAGGTTGGGACTTGATCTTGTTGATGAGGTAACCCATCTCGCGCTCCAGCTTCTTCTGCTGCTCCTCAAACTGGTGTGACAGGACCGGTGGGTCTTCGTGAGGGGGCGTGGCCTCCAAGTCGCCTAGGGAGGTCACCAACCACTCCTGTGTGGATTGGTAACTTTCACTATGGAGTTGAACTTTAAATGACCCAACCGCCCAGCATGAAACGTTGGTACAAAACATGGCTGCCAGTGAGTGGCTATAATATACAAGAGGCACTAGCTTGAAACTGCAGGCTGGCAAGTACACGATTTTAGAACAAACTCTGTGGTATAGTCTGAAATGCTCGAGCAAACTCCCATGCCTACCACTGAATCATTGACGAGTTTTCCGAGCGTGGTCATCTCGACCTCTGTGAATATCTGGAGCTCGCTCGTCATGTTCCTCATGTACAGGGCGAACCCGAGGGACATGTTGATGGAGTCTCGGAGACGCTCGATGAGTTTCGGCCGTTTCTCCGCCTCCTCCACCCTCTTCTTGAGGCTGCGACACGCCCGCTTCAGCTCCCGCAGTTTCTTCTTGTAAACCTGTGAACAAAGTATGCACTGTGTACCTGACGACAGGCCGGCATCCTGAACATGTACCCTACAATAATAGCTAGAGAGTACAATTTAAGAGTGAGTGTGTGGGCCAGCTCTATAAACTACGAAATTACAAGCTGCCTGATATTTTCCTGAAAAAATTGCCATATTGAGCTAAAGCTGACTTACTGAGGTCTCGGCACTGAAGTAGCCTTCTTCCTCAAACCAGTCAGAGACCACACCCACCACCGTACGGATCTCTTCCCTCTGCTCCTCGGTCGACACGGCGATGACCTCCGTGACCTCCAGCCACGACCTCGTCTCAAACATGTAGCTCTCGAGGGTGTTCTTTGCCTTCACGTTGGCCACTTTCTCGTCGTCCCTCTCTTGCAGCACACGCAACCTGCCAACATAGTACACCATGGGTATGTGCAGGAGTGTAAAAAACTGACTCTGGTTGTAGGGGAGGGGGTGGGGGAAGGGGGTATTACTAATCTCTACAAGAACCATGCATTTGCATCGAATTGTGTAAAACAACTTTTAGTGAACAAAATACAGTCAGCTGGGATTCGTGGTACATTTGCTAAAAAACCCAGGTTTAGAAAAGTCTGTATTAGGGAGCAACTCACTTGGTAGAGGAGAGTTCCACATCCACTGAGGTCAGGGAAGGCAGGTCGAGAGTGGTGATCTCTGCCGTGAGGTTGACCTTCACCGTCCTGCTGGCTGGAACCTTCTCCTCTCCTTCTTCTTGGACTTCTTGGTCGACTCTGCGTCCGATGCCGTGTCGTTGGCCTGCGACCCCTCTGGCTCTGCAGGAAAAACAGTTACCCAACAGTTATGGGCATAGAAGCTGGTCCAATAGTAGTTACACACATTCACTTTTTCCCATAAGAACTTTACCATTGCAAACCTTCTGTGCATATACATGATAGGGAGCCTTTACTCTAAGCGCAGCAGTTCTTAGTCTAAATGCATGACTATTATGGAATGTCCTCCCATGGCCATGGTGGGAAACAAATTCAATAGGAAAAACAAATTTGAGGGAAATGGAAATGTTGGTGATGGTTTGTACTAGCTCCAATCCCACATCATGCACAAGTTTTCTCTCGCAAAATGTTTGTTGCCACAGGTATGTAACTTCACTGTACACCATTCCAGCTAAGACACTACCTGGAGTAGTTTCACTATCATTCTCTGCCTCCTTCTCATCTCCCTCCTCCCCCTCGTCGGTAGTTGGGGGTGTGGTTTCCTCGGTGGGCGGGGTCTCGTCCCTCGTCTCCGTTTCCTCACTGTTGCCAGCTGCTGCTGCTGACTCAGGAGTCTCCTCGCCCGCTGGCACCTCCCCCTCCTCCTCTTCAACTGGAACAGCCTCTTCTGTAAGAGGTTTCCGTAACTTTACATTCATACCATGCATCACTACGCCATAATTATATTTCGCGACACAGGATTTTTTGACTTGAACGCAGTTGGCTAGCATTTGCGGGCCTCTAAAACAAACATTCGCGATTTCATAGCGAAAGGTAGTTATACGGTATATGGTCAAACAAACATGAACGTGGACATCATAGCATGCAAGTAACATAGTGTAGACATCATGCATGTGAGAACATCGCACTGCATGCGTAGTGTCACGTGTTACGGCAAAAAATAAAGGTAGATTCATTTCGATTGCTGGTTTGGCTACTAAGAGAATTCTAGAGTGTATATACCTTCCTCTTTAGCTCCTTCATCTGAATGTAAGTCTTCCTCTTCCACAGCTCCCTCGTCGTCCTCCTCCACCTTCTCCTCCTGATCTCCTTCCCCCGCTTCTTCCTCTTTCTCACTCACTCCCTCCCCTTCTCCTTCCGTCTCCGTTCCTGCCTTCTCTCCTTCTCCCTCCTCCCCCTTCTCCCCCTCTCCCTCCTCGGTAGCTGCTGATGAAGGCTCTTCGGTTGTCTCCGTCTCACTAGATCCTCCACCAAACAAGTTGGACAATGTGGACCCAATCTCTGTGACCAAAGTAGCAACAGAATGTTTAGCCATAACTAACTCTTCCTGAACTAATACAGTTGAACCCTTCCAAGGACACCCCTGAAATGCTCACTATAAGGACACATTTCTCCCCCAAGAACAGTTCTTGCCTAAGAATAATACGGACACTTTTCTTCTTCCTGATTCGTGTCCATAATAGAGAGGTTCCACTGCATACACATAGACACCCCATGGTATGTACAATTGAAGCAAGGGTGAAAACTGAACTTCTTTCTGTCCAAAATTGAATCTACTACGAAACGGACCGCTTCCCTTCTCTCCCTCCTCATCACCTCAAACACACGCAAAATACTTCCCAATATGCAAGACCGAGGCATCACGGAAAGAGCTCTCTCTTCCACTCCCTACACCTTCCCTCCCCTCTCCTCCCTACCCCTCTCCTCCCTACACCTTCTCCTCTCTCTCACTGGCAAAGGTGCCGACTTCTCCCTACTAATCACACGTGCACCCACCCACATCTAATGATACATGGCTACTGTATCATCTGTATGACTCTGAGCTACAGTTCTGCTTCATTTTATCCCCTTTCCCTTCTCCTCCCTCTCTCACTGGCAAAGGTGGACTGCTCCTCTTCATCGGGGGGATACTCAAACAGAGACTCCACGTAGTCCAGAAGCAGCAGTCCACTCTCGTCCATCCTGAAGTGAGCCTTGATCCCCTTGGCCTCGGCCCCGCTGTGGGTGGAGAGGGCGTCCCCGACACCAGCTAGATACACCTCACTCAGGTTGAGTCTGCCCACATATCTGCAGGAGATGGAGGTACATATACACTGTATACACAGCCAAACTGTTGGTAGAGACACACACGTTTTCTCATCGTCGCTGAGGAAGCCCAGATGACTGTAGTAGACCGAGAACGGAAAGTCTTTGCTGTAGCGATTGAACGTCAGCACTTTCTTCTGCGGGTACGCGTTGCTGCGCTGGAACAGAGTCTTCTTCACCACTTTCACGACCTCCTCCTCCTCTTCCTCCCCCTCCTCCCCCTCCCCACTCACACGCTTCTCAAAAGACACCTGGGTACATATGTGGGACAGAAGAGATAGAGTAATTACTTGTTGCTTTTCACCTACAGTACCTATAGGTTTTGCAGTCAAATAGTACGTACTGACATGCACTGATTTGAGCAAAGTCGGGTGTGTCGGTGGTTTGCTAACGGTGGTGAAGTGCAGTTTAAAATTCGCCCCCACGGAACCTACGCAACCTCTGCTAGGTTTTTTTATAATGCACATGGAGGTTTACGCAATAATAATGGGCACATTCTGTTACTTTGTTCTCATGCTGATCAGCCCAAACATCACGAACGTTTAAGTAAAAGTTTCAGGTCATAAAAGTGCTCCTTCAAAGTTGAAAAAGAGTAAAACTCTTGATGTCTCACCACAATAGGGAGGACATTTGCGTCCTTGACGATGAATTTCTTGACCCTGAACAGCTTGGTCTGTCCGGCAGCCTGATAGACTGCACCCAATGCAGCTGCCTCGTCTGTGTTGAGACTACGACCAAGGTCAGGCCTGTGGGACAGAGAGAGAGATACAGTGCAACCACTGTAAGCACACCATTGAAACGAGGACACCTCTCTAATAAGGACACCTTATCCTTCCCCAGCAGGAACAGTTTCTCGCGTGCAATAAATGTGGACACCCCACTAATATTCATTGGTCCGGATTAACCACGGTATCCGTATGCTCACCCACGTCCTGTTATTAGGTTGTTAGGAGGCTGGCCTAGAGTACTGTATGCCGACAAACGGTTGTAGTACATGCTGTGGACAGCATCCGAACGGGCGCAACAGTTTGGTTGGCCCGCTACATCGTTATGTGCTCACTACATCCTCAAAGCCCCTAGGCCACCCCTATAATCATTGTTGAGGGCGGAGAAAAACTGGGTCCCCAAACTGACATTCTTTGCTTAAAATCCACAGTCAATGACATTACTTGTTGACTGCTTTGAGCAGGGCCTCCTGGAAGCGAGGGACTCTGGTACCACCTCCCATCAGTATGACACTGTCCATCTCCACCTAGGTATATACACCAGCAATTATACAACCGATGAAGACACAGGGTATAGACAGGACACGATACACACGATGTTCAGTATGTGCAGGCAACACATACGTAACACAGGACAGAGTAGGTGTATATAGAAGCAGGGATATGGAAGAGGAGAATACCAGGTTTTTCTCTAGGGGAGGGGGCAGGAGAACTGAGCTTCAAACACGAAGTCGATTTCACATCCCTCAAATAAGCCCCTAAAAGCAGCACAGGTTTTTGGCACTAACCATTGTCATGTCGGCAGCCTCCAGGGCCTGTCTGACTGGTTCCTGGACCCGGTCATACAGGTCGGAGCACATGGCCTCCAGCTCCTCGCGAGTCACCTTCAGTTTAAAGTCAACGTCTTCCAGTAGACCCTCAACCTGAAGAAAATGATAGACAGACATTCCAGGAGATGACTACGTACATCCCTAGCCAACATGTGCTCTGTAAACATCAAAGATGTCGCAAGGAAAAGGCAAAGCAAAACACCCAGAACAATGAGCAGACCTATTAGGCAAAGCAATGCTTTATTCTCGCCATACTACACTCATTGCTGAATGAAACTGTGACTCCAGCATTGACCGTACCTGAGCATAGAAGTCTGTGTTGGCGCTGAGAACCCGTTTCACTCTCTTGGCCTCCTTCAGCAGCTTCCCCATGGCCCTGGGCGACTCAAACACACTCCCCTGCGTCTTCTTCATACCCTGACAATACCACCACCGACACAGAGTAGGAGGAGAGAGAAAGAGAAGGACAGATTAACTCAGACACAAGGGGTTCCTGCACAGGGTTTCCTTAGCAGACAAATACTTAAAGCGTTCAACCTCCTCCCAGCAGTCCAGTCTTCCCTAAAACTAGGCTAGAATGCCCTGCAAATTATGTTTCCTGGTGATATCGCCCCCCAATAAACAAACATTCACAAAAACTATGGACGAATGCCTATAAATATTTCTCCAGACGATTTCACCTTAACCCTCCCTTCAAAGAAGACACACTCGCAGTCTCTCACCTCGAAGCTCCTTGCCAGGTGATCTCGGAGGCGAATGTCAATCTCAAGACCTCCCAGGAGATGGTCGTAGCCGACTCCCTTCACCGACAGCTGTGGGTACGTGTTGGCCACGCTTCCCTCTTTCACCTGAGCCTTTCGGTACTCTGGTAGCATGTGGGAGAGACAACCAGGCTCATGCTGTCTGACTCTTCACATAACAATTTCACTACTATACTACTAAATATCTCGGAGAAACAGTGTCAGTTGAAATAGTAAAAGCTGGACCTTTACATGTCTATTTTAGAGGCACTATGTGAGTGAGTTGCAACAGAAACTCATGCCAACTGCTAAAATGGGGCCATTTGGGTTATATATAGTATATATCCAAAGTGCACCTCTACATTATTAATGCTGCTACACTCCACTTCACTTTTGTACTGAAACTACCAAAAGGCAACCAGAGCGTCTAAAGGTGTAAGCACCCCTGCCACTGATATACTCACCAATAATGGAAGCAGTGGTGCTGAGGGCTCCGACGTCATAGAACATGATGTACTGTGGAGTGGCGTTGAAGGAGGCCTGGCGAAACAGACCGTAGTTCAGAGCAGCTGCACGAGAACACGCGGTGAGAATGTCAGGGAATGTTGCGACACGACTGGTGTTGTATTGGCATTGGAAATGATAACTCACTGGCTGCAGCATCTGTCATTAGTTGGAGCACGTTGAGACCCACCAGGTTAGCCGCACTGCAAGGGGCAAGAATATTGAGCACTTACAAACCACACATGCACTCTCGGCATACATTAACTTCTTCACAATGACCGTGCGAGTGTGCAATTAGTGGGGGTATGTGGTGGCATACTAGAGCATGGCTCTCCTCTGGGCCTGGGTGTAGAAGACTGGCACAGTGATCACACAGTCTCTGATCGGCTGCTCTGGAGACAGAATAAAACACAACCCTCATCAACTAACCAGGGACCAGGGGTTCATTTGGGGGTGGAGTTAAAGTGAACCTTTTACAGAGGGTTTTGCCCCTCCTCTTATTAATACACATTTTGCCCGCTTAGATCAAGTTGTAATCGAACCTCCTCCCTCTCCCCCTCCCCCTACCCCCATCATAATTAAAATACCTGCATAGTCTTGAGCAATGATTCTTGTGTAGTTGAGGATCATAGCCACCAGCTCCTCGGGAGAATACGCGGTCTCACTGTCACAGAGACAGATATGGGCCACATAAACTTTTGCGACTAACAATTACTCGAAAGAGTAACTTGCGAGCTCAGCACAACTAAGGAGTTCGTTTTGTGGCTCACCTGTCATGCTGAAAAAGTATAGTCCCTGGGAGAAAGGAGAACACACACATCATAACCAAAGTCTACAGCATATCACTTAAGTGATGCTCAAAAGTCGACAGTGTATCACTGGAGTGACGATGCAGTGAAACCTACATACCTCTCTCCTCGTCCTTCCTCATGTCGTAGTAAGGGAACCACTGTCGGTACTTGGTGACCAGGGGACTGTCAAATTTCTGCCCCAGCAGTAGCTGTAGGTACCAGTAGGCACTCTTGGGGTACTTCACTCCCTGGAATGGAGGAAGTTATAGGATAAGGTTAAAGTACCTACACCCTGGGATGGAAGGTATTGGATGGGTGGAGGAGGGACAGAGAAAGTAAAAGAACAAGCATTGACAGTGAACGGAGGGAGGAAAACGGTGTGTAAGTATAAAACATCCTGGAATGGAAAGTATGGGCAGTGTGAGGAGCAACAAAGATGGATTGATAGTGAAAGTTGTGGTTGTACCGTAGAGAGAGCAGCATCTCCAAAACAGTCTCTCATCTTTTCTCATGGACACGACAGCCGCTGTTTTTCTCTTTGATTCCCTGCATTAAAAAGGGCATCTGATTCACCACAGAATGTGCAGCCTGTCAGTGCAGCATCCTCAATACTTCCTGAATGGCTGCTTCCCCTATCAGTGTGCCAGGGATCAATTTCTACAGTCATTGATACCAATTGCCCCACAAAATTGATTCCTCAGCACACTGGTAGGCTAAAGCCAAAATGAGTTTGTGCATCAACAGTGCTACACAGATAAGTCCAGGCAAAATGCTATTTGTGTACGGTACAGACTGGCCGAACATTAGTGGACTGTATAACAGGACCAACGGTAGGGGTCTCACTTGTTGAGGACAATCTCCATGGGGACACCAGGCTGTGGGGTAGATATAAGTGAAGAACAGAATGACAAACAGAAGACCATTTTCCACCCAAACTAGTCAGTGGCAATGCTCAACACAGAATACTTTGAGTTGGAGTACCCAACTGCAGCTGATGTAGGATCCATCATAATGAAGAGACCTCCTCACCTTGACTAGAGCCACTTTTATCCATTCTCCGCCAAAGTCGACGGAGATAACGGCGGCGCGCGCCTGCCAGGAGGCACACGCCAACACGACTACCAACGCAACCCCCGTACACAGCCAATGGCAGTACTGCATTCTTCTAGTGACTCCTGTTCTCTCCGATATGATCCCTGGACAGTCCGCGGTTTTATAATACTACGCCACATGGCCTGGCAAATGTGATTGGTCAAACCGCACGAAGGGCCGACCGGACGTTAAAATGTTTCAGCGCATGCGCATACTTGACGAACCGCTGAATTTGAACAAACGCGACGCGACTCCGGTGACGACTGCACTGCAACAAGGAAGAGCATTTTGCGAAGGTAAAACTTCTACAGCAATGGGAGGAGAAGGAAGAAATAGACCTGTTCTAGCTGCTCAAGAAAAAGGTAGCTGACTATGTAAGATTTCTGTGGCGGTATTCACAGGTTTCTGGTATCACCCTGCAGGTCCGGGGTCTGGACGCTACTCGCTCCCCACCTGCGTTGGACATCGCGGACACGACCCGACCAAGAAATGCATGCCGCACTATTCCTTCGGAAAGAGGCTTGAAAATCCCAGTGAGTGACACATGGCTATAATATTATTGTAAGTTGAACGAAGACTTTTGGCAGTGTTTCGCAAGGACTGCAGTCCTGGGCCAGGGTACTACATCGATTCAGCTACCACTAGGTTCGGAACGGGCGGCACTCCGTCGTACTCGATTCTCGGACGACAGATGGACCCAAGTGAGTCACCTGGCCCCCTAACATAATGTTCATCAAAAGTAATGGCTTTTTGACACGGCAGAGGTGTTCAAGACACCGTCTCCTGGTGCCTACTATCCGGAGAAAGTACACCCACAGGGGGAGAAGCATGCTCCAGCCTACTCCATGAGTGCTCGCACCAGGAACCCCAAAAGTAAATGCATCATTACAGCAGCATAGCTATCTCATCGTCACTAACCTTTGCTCATGCTGTGCTCCAGAGGACAACACTCCATCCCCAAACTCCTACCAGCTCCCGTCTCTCCTGGGTTCCAAGGTGCCCAACAAGCGTTCGTCCGCTGCCTACTCCATGGCCTACAGGTCGTCTACTGGAGCTTTCTCTGAAGACCTCGCCAAGACGCCTGGGCCTGGCCACTACAATGCAGTGGCACCCAATGTGTACGTGAAGAAGGCACCGGTCTACTCCATGCTTAGCAGGAGTTACATGCCTGGAGGTAAAGTCACTGCATAAACCAGATTCTCCTATCCCCTTGAAATTGCTTTTCCTCCTTCTCCCAGACTCTACCAAGAAGCCAGGGCCTGGTGCTTACAGCCCTGAGAAAGTATCGTGCAACAAAATGTCGTCACCAAAGTACTCTTTGGGAATCCGCCACTCAGAATACGTCTACACTCCCCATTTCGCTGAAGTGCAAGATTGAAAAAAACTCAAAAGACTCAAATCATTGACCAATTTTGTGTATGCATCTTTGCACACAAGTGACTAGACTGAAACATGTTCATTTGAATCTGAATCCACATAATGATGTGTAAATGCAGAGCCTAATAAACTGCAGGACTTTTTGAATACTAAAGCGCTCTTCTTTCATCAACGGAAGAGAGCTAAATCGCGCAAATCCATGCGCGGATAAATATATCTTGCGCGTGTGCACAACGATACGAGCGAAGAGCTGGACTTTAGAGGGTTCAGGTTGACCATACAAATCTTGTAGCTACCTAATTACTGGACAACAGCGTTTTGCCATGGTCGTTAGTTGTAAACTCAGATTCGTCTCCCTCTAAAATGTAGCGTCTGGCGTAGCTAGCTATATAGGCAGGTTGCTAATTGGCCCTCTCCTGGTGATGGATTGCAATTTCACATGAACTTGAGGCTATGAAATTATGGTTAGGAGACGACCCTGGCAACGCAGTAATCTCCGGATTACAAGACTTGTGCGTTGTTTGTGTTCGTCGTACAGGTAACTGTCACTAGTGTGACCGCACCAGGGCTCTGGTCGTCCGTCTGCTACTCGCGCTCTCATTGGTCACACTCGTAGCGGAAGCTCACGTGAGTGGAGAGAACCAAAACCACTCCGCTTGCTCTCCGCAGTTCAGTCGGCGGTCTGCAGCTCTTCGCGACTGCAGCTCTGTTGTTCGCATTTCCACAAACAGCAGCGCCGACTCTTCGCCTCTCTGCTGGATTTCTTGGAAAGTTTCGCCGAGCTGCAAATGACAAGTGGACAGTCCAGACGTAGCTAGCTACGTCTCTCCATTGCAGCTCTCCGTTCCCCTGGCCAGCTACACCAGCTACAGCCACGGCTGTCTCAACTTCTTTCTTTATTCGTCTGACAGTTGGCACCGTTGCTCGCTTACCGTTCACAGACGCATCGACGACTAACGACTCGTCCGTCCGTCCATTTCTCTTCACGTCGACGTGTGCGCGTTCTTGGTATACATATTTTCACAAGGGGCCCCTGCGGCAATTGTTTTTCGGTGTTATTATCGGAGCGCTCTGGTATTTTTAACTTGCACGGCCCCTACGGTAATAATTTCTGTGTAATTATCTGGTTCTGAAGCTCCGCATTTTGGTGTGCGCGCGCTCTGGTATTGTTACAGTGGCCACTGCGGTACATTATCGGTTCTAAAATCCAGTATTTCGAGTATTTTTTTGGTGTGCGCGCTCTGGTATTGTTACAGTGGCCACTGCGGTACATTATCGGTTCTAAAATCCTGTATTTCGAGTATTTTTTTGTGTGCGCGCTCTGGTATTGTTACAGTGGCCACTGCGGTACATTATCGGTTCTAAAAATCCAGTATTTCGAGTATTTTTTTGGCGTGCGAGCTGGTATTGTACAGCGGCTGTGCAGTAGTTCAGAAGCTAGATCTTTCGTGTCTTTTTTGGTTTCCCCTGAGCCAGGCTTCAGAGGATTCTGTTTCAAATAGTCAGCAGTATGTATGCAGTGTGCATATAATTATACAGTATGTTATGTTCCATTTCCATTTTTAACATGGTTTACTGTTATTCTGCATCCTGTGGGCAAGACCTGTAAACCAGGGTCAGCCTTCTTCCATTGCTGTATGTTAAATTGCTCCCTGCAGCGTCATTGTAAAAATGTCATCTCTGTCATCTCCCTCTTCTGCTTGAGACTATGGCTCTCATACATTACACCACCACATCATTTCATTCTCCGGGTCTTCAAGGTTATCTTCATTTCATTCTTCAGGGTTTCGATTTTCTGGGGTCTTCAAGGTCGTTTTCTTTTAGGGCCTTCAAGGCATTTTTCTTGTCACTTCACTTGGGGTCTTAAAGGCCTTTTCTTTAGGGGTCTTCAAGGTCTTCAACTTCAATTCTTGTCTGCTGATGTGTATGGTGTTTTTGGGAAGGACACTTGTCTGGGATCCAATCAGGAGAGGGAGATGAGAGACTGAAGGCTCACACCGCAAGACTTATGACTGGCCTCCGTAAGCCTTGCAGAATACACTGTAATAATGTTTCACTGTGCATTATTTTTTGGACTTTTCTCTCTCTTTCTTGCAGGTTTCACACAGACCTAGGACATCATAATTATAGGCCAGCCTTGCATGTGTTTTCTTCTGATGTCCCTGAATCGCTTGTTTCACTACCTCAGAGGTAACATTACTGTGTGTTAACTTGCTCTGTACTTCCCTGCAGCTCCATTGAGCCTCGTCGTAGGAACTGTCGAGTTCACCACATTCTCGAAGCCTCCCTGCACAAACTGCATGTGTCGTTTCACCTCCTTTCCATTCTCTGTTGGCACTGCCTCGCGACTGGTGTGAGGACGGCTCTCTCTCCTCCCGTCTGTCATGACGGTGATATATAGACTCTGTATCCAGTGGACTGCTTCCAAACCAACAGCACCACATTGTCTACATGACCAGGTCTTTAGATGCAGTATAAATTTTGCACTGGACCCTATCTTAATTTCACTTCACTCTCAATATTCACTTCACTTTATTCTCCAGGGTTCAAGGTTTTCATCCTGACTTGGTGTATGCATGGTGTTGATGGGGAAGCGTCCAGTCTAGGATCCAGAGTCTCTGTCCCTGGTCTGTAAGGTGTGTCAACGTGTGGAGGCAAGAATGTGCAGCATCTGGATGGAGTGGTGCCGAGAATGTGGTGAAGGTCGACTTCAACACTAGCATCTGAAGGCCAAGACTCAAGAACCTTGGCCACACCCTACCTGCCTTGCATTAATGTATGTTAACTTGCTCTTAATCTGGCAGTATAATAATTGGCTAAATTTAAAACCTAATTGCATTTTGCACTGATCCAACTTGAGGACTTCATTCTCAAGGTGTACAAAATTCATTTCTCCAGGGTTCAAGGTTCTTCCTGACTTGGCGTATGCATGGTGTTGATGGGAAAGCGTCCAGTCTGGGATCCAGAGTCTCTGTCTGTCTGCTGGCCGGGGATAAGTGGTGTCAACGTGTGAAGACAGCCACGTGCAGCAGTCTGGATGGAGTGGTGCCGAGAATGTATACCTCAAGACTAGAATCCAAAGGCTTATAGACAGTACAACTCAAGAACCTTGGCCACACCCTAGACCAGCCTTGCATATGTTTTGTTCCAATGTCCCTAATGCATGCTTAGAGTTTCGCAGTAGCAGAAGATGTCGCTACCTCAGAGATAACATTAATGTATGTTAACTTGCTCTCTATTTCCCTGCAGCCTCTTCGAGCCTCTTCTTAGAAACTAGACTTCACCACATTCTTGATGCCTTTCCTGACAAGACTGCATGCATCGCTGAGCTGTTTCTCGTGGCACTGCCCCAGTGCTGGTGTGACCGTGGTGGAGACATCCCAGCGATCTTCCAGTTCTTCAGCACCACACCCAAGGTCTTTAATCTGGCAGTATATAAGGGCTAAATTTTAAAACGTAATTGCATTTTGCACTGGCCCATTTCTTTTAACTTGAGGACTTTATTCTCAAGGTGTACAAAATTCATTTCTCCAGGGTTCAGGTTCATCCTGACTTGGTGTATGCATGGTGTTGATGGGAAAGCGTCCAGTCTGGGATCCAGAGTCTCTGTCTGTCTGCTGGCCGGGGATAAGTGGTGTCAACGTGTGGAGACAGCCACGTGCAGCAGTCTGGATGGAGTGGTGCCGAGAATGTGGTGAGGTTATACCTCAAGACTAGCATCCGAAGAGCTTATAGACAGTAAGACTCAAGAACCTTGGCCACACCCTAGACCAGCCTTGCATGTGTTTTGTTCCAATGTCCCTAATGCATGCTTAGAGTTTCGCAGTAGCAGAAGATGTCGCTACCTCAGAGATAACATTAATGTATGTTAACATGCTCTCTATTTCCCTGCAGCCCCTTCGAGCCTCTTCTTAGAAATTGGTCGACTTCACCACATTCTCCATACCTCCCCGGGCAGACTGCACATGTTGTTGAGCTTTTATTGTTCCATTTTCTGATGACACCGCCTCACGGCCAGTGTGAGGACAGCCCTCTCTCTTCCCGTCTCCCCACAGACTCCTCCAGTCTGTCATGGAGACTCTGTGTCCCAGGAGACTGCTTCCCGATCCTCATTACACCACCACATCACCTCCTCTTTTCTATTTTGATGGTCTTTAAAGCCATCACTATACTTCATTCTTTTGGTCTTCAAGGTCTTTAACTATTAACTTAAATTCTTCTCCAGGTCTTTAAGGTCTTTTATAATTATTCATTCTCTTGGTCTTCAAGACCCCCAGTTAAACTGGGGGGTCTTCTTTTCAAGGTCTTTAGTTCACCAGGTCTTCAAGGTTGAACTCACCAGGTCTTCAAGGTTGAACTCACCAGGTCTTCAAGGTTCGACTCACCGGGTCTTCAAGGTTCATCTCACCGGGTCTTCAAGGTTCATCTCACCGGGTCTTCAAGGTCTTCATCTTGAGTTCTTGTGTGTGGTGTAATGAGTGTTGTCGGGACGGGGACTTGCTGGTCAGGTGGTGTTTAGGTGTGGCGTAGTTTGAGAATAGGAAGAAGCAGTCTGGACGGAGTCATGTGGAGAATGTGGTGAACTCTGACCTCAATGGCCTCGCCGAACGATTGTAGACAGCGAGCCTCAAGATGGGCCTCCGAAAACCTCGCAGAGAGCTGAGACTGCCTATCCGAGGTATGTTTGTGTGTTTGACAATAAGTTTTTCTCTGGTGTAGTTGAACCCCTACCTCAGGTGCTGTAGATGTGATGAGCCTTAGGGGCGGGCGCGGGCGGGGGCCAAAGATGCGACAATACCTTCGCGTGGTTTTGGCCGTTACGCCTGACATCTCCTGTGCAGTCAACACCAAAGACTTACGTCTCATCTGCACAGGTCATGCCAGGCAACCAAATTTGTCGCATTGAATCAGTAAGCTCACCTCTGGGTGAGTGACTGGTTCATAAAACCTTTCCCTCCCCATGGGCAATGCCCTCCCTATACGAAAGGTTTACCGCGGACAGTTCTGTCAGCAGTGCAAGTTTCTCACGGCCCTGATGTCCAAGAGAGGAGGATCATAGGTGAATCACTAGATACATCTACAGAAAGTTGTTTCTTTTTTTCTCCCTTAGATTGTGACTGAAGCTGAGTGGAATAATTTTAACTGAATGGCAGATGCTGAGCTGAGAGAATAGTTGTTGAGAATCCTTGAGTCGAGAGAGCATGTTCCTTGTACATCAACACTGACAAAGGACTGAACTTAGAAAGCTGCTGAATATCCTGGGATCCCAGAAAGTGGAACTGAAAGACTGCCTAGCTATATACCTACATTATACACATGTGCAGCACTCTGTAGCATGATTGTTGGCATTGAAGAACTTCATGAATTGCTATAATATACATTCATTTTATGAACTCTTGTTTGTTGAAATAATCTCCCAAAGCAAAGTAGTTAAAAGGCTTTTCAGTAGCCAGAATAAAAAAACGTTTTGCAATCATAAAAGAATGTTTTTTCTGTTGTTGATCGGTCAGGTTGTCATGTTGCCTAGCTCTTGCTGGTGTCCCTGGCTGCATCTCTTGATCCTCGACCATAGGCAGCCATAGAGCTAGTGAGAAACGAGTCGTATGTCTGTTTGATTTGAGGAGGATCCAGCACTGGCTGATGGGCTGGAAAAGCACTAATCTCCCTCTTCCCTGAAACCAGAAAAAGCGATCAGACTGAGCCAAATCAACCGCAGGACATTGGAATATGAGCAGTACTCTGGTCTCAACTCTAGAACAAGGAACAACAATATATACCTCTGCTGAATTTCAGTGCTTCTGGTACTTTCTGTGGTTCCTTGGAAAACGACTGAGTATACGTGCTCTCGAAATAGTGATTGTACTAGAAAAAGTAAATTCACATAAATCAAAAGAGAAATATAAGATGGGTTTTTACTTGCGATGGAAGTGGTCTTGCCTGGGAGAGGAGCGATACATCGAATCTTTTCTCGTTCCAATTGCCGATGAGTGTATTTGGAGAGTAGGCGCACTCAGTCCTCAGCCAGCCGACCTGTGAAGGGGGATAGCTATGACCGCTGTAGTCAGCCGGTAATATTCACCTGATCACTTTCCGATCCCTTTGTCTGCCACGTAGTTTTGGTGTAAAGGACTCCCTTTTTAGAGGATTCGGCCATTGGCTCCCGCGATCGCGCAGATCCAGATAGTTTGTTAGCGCGTTGTCATGGATATTAGAAATGTTCTAATTAGAGCACATCACGATTTATTGGGTGCAGGGAGTGTGAGTCATACGTATTCTTATAGCTAGCTAGTCAGAGGTCGTGGGCTGCTGATCAGTAGGAGGTTGAGCTGCGTCAGAATCCGTGGGAGCATCACGGTTGAAATGCTGTAGAAACCAGAAATATGTCAATACAGCTAGCAACGTACGTACATAGCTACCTGTGAGTTTTTGAATTCCATGTAAAGTGAGAATAGGTTGTGTAGTGAGTGTATCCGACTGTTGTGGACTGGGATGTCCAGCAGTGCTGTAGCAAACATAACGATACCTAAGGGGGAGATAGTTGCACAGGTGTGCAACAAATTACCACAGATGATGTCAGTGTACTGCGCCAGATCACAGTCCAGTTCAGCTATAGGTACCCCAAACTGAAACACAGAATGCATCAATCGTACAACCAGATGCTTGAGCCTTTAAAAAAAGAGGCAGATAGAGCCAATCAGACCTCTTGCAAGGCTTCCTCAAACTGTGCTGGCCACTCTTGCATCAGGTCCTCCACATCTGGCATGTTTCTGAGGCGAATGTAAGGAACATAAATCAAAGGCTGAACACATACACCCTGGCATAGTGCCAACTTTCATATGCAGAAAAACTATGCTGCTTCCTCCTACAAATTTGGGACCGTTCTGAAATGGTACATACATACTTTGTGTAGTGGACAGTGGTGGGAGGCTTCTGACGGTGGATCTCTGCTATGCTCTCGATCCAGTTGTCCAGGGACTTGCTCTCCTTCTCAGGATCACCAATACTTCTCACAGTCTGTTGGGAAATAGTAAATACTTTCCGATACCAGAGGTTTCTTTGCTATGTGCTGCTAGCTGTACATATATACAGTATACTGCTCTTGAATGGTGTGTTCAATTCAGAGCAGGACAAGAGGGTCAGATCTGAGAGGGTAGAAACTTTGCCTAGGTGTTTTCCTTTGTACAGAGTTGATGGGACAAGACGCATAAAATCCATTTGAGCTCAGAGCAGTGTGTAAAAATGTCATGGTAAAGTTTGTCAGTGGCAGTTGTGTACCACACTCACTACTGGTTTGACGGTGGTCTGTTTGGTGAGAGTCCTCAGCTGGAGGTCCAGGACTGTTGGGTCAGACTGCTTGGCCCGAGGCTCGTCCGCCACCACCAGACCAGCACTCTCAGTCTTCCCATCTGGCCTAGACACCTGCACCATTTCACACGCACATAAAGCTCTTTATTCCTCTGTATTCAGAGGGCAGTATCAGGAACGTTGTAAAGGAGTGTATTAATGACTTAAAATGACGGAGTGGTTGTAGCTGAAAACCCAGCAATTTATGCATGAATCACGGAGTGTCGACAAAAGGTAAGTGCATACTCAACGAACACTTCAACGACACCCCTTTTTCCTTTGATGATGTTTACGTAAGCAGTCTTCAACCTCATACCTTGAGAAATGCATCAATGTCCCCGATAGCAGGGATGTAGTCGGGGATAAACGGACGCAGTTGAGTCTCCAGCTCAATGGACTGTGGAGTGTAGTGAGTGACGTGTTGAAACAGCTTCTTCAGCTCCCCGCTAACTCGCAGATGATCATAGTTCCTGGGGTCATACACCCTGCAGTATATGTGGTGGGAAGTCTAAGAGGCAAGTTAATTAACTCACTAGGCTCAAATTAGCAGTAGCGCACACAGCCACTGATTTAGGGGCCTACATACAGTGGCTCAGGTCACTCAATGCTTCCATTAGTTACGGACGATATTATTAGTGATGCTATTTATGCCCAAAGAGCTAAAGGGGTAAAGGGGGCGAATGGATACACACATACCCTGTGTGTATTTGCTGTGGGTTGTCATCGGACACACTATCTTCACTCTCGCTGCCCTCTGCCTCACTCTCCTCCTCCTCATACCTCATCCCACCCTGTACACTGACCCCCATCCTCTCTCCACCTACAAACAACACAACACAGTCGAGCAGAGATGAGTGGATATTCTGTGGGAAAGTTTGAAGGGGACAAATTTAGACGGTTGGAGAGCCATCTGGAAAACACTTGTGCAATTGCAAAAGTGGCCTCCTTTGTTACCACTATAACGTATGTGTCTGTTTATTATAGCTACTTGATGCACTACAGTGTCAATATGTGCTCGAACTCAATACTACCTTAGCCTGCGTTCGCAATGGGAGGAGAACTGAGAAGGCACTAAGTATGTACCTGAGCAACTTGCACCCTCAAAACCTTCCAACGAAGGGTAGATAACTCACCCATTTTATGCTGGGGATCAGGAGGCCTGGGTTGGGGTGGAGAGTGAGGGTAAAAGTGAGCAGGTTCATCGCTGTCCGGGGCGTGCATCTGCGGTGCAGGAGGCGTCCCACTGCTAGGGGGGTGGGGCTGCTGTGGATGATAAGTAGACTGTGCAGGGTGATGGGGGAAGTCAGAGAGAGGGGGAGCCTGGGGAGTGTGATTGGTGGACGGGATGTCTTCTCCGTCGCTCACCTCCACGCTCTCGTCGTAAGGCTGGTTCTCTATCAGCTAGGCCAGGTTTGGGGAGGATGGGTAGCTTCATAGGTAACACTTGCAACTGCGCATTCACCTTGTCTCGAGCTCCAGAGGATAGCGCCATTGGTAGCTACTGCTGTTCGTCTCTGCAGTCACAAATCCTTCTCGGATGGGGGGAGGCTCTGCAAGCAAGATCGATCGTCGCGCTCTGTGTTTGGGCACGTGACTTATAAACCGTTGCCATGGATTTCACGTGGGCTGCCTTGCAACCTAACAAAAAAACTGGGCTGTTGCACAGGGCTCGAGTCGCTACATGGAGATCTCAGTGTGGAGTGTGGAAGTCGACGAGCGTTTTCGCTGGCTGGAAGATCGCGTCAGCTCCTCGCTTCGCCCGCGAGGTGAAGATCTGAGGCGGATGACCGTAGATGAACACAACAGGTCAGATCGAAAAACTGCAAAAACTACCAGTGCTCGCAACTCTTTACACATACAACTGCAGAGTTACATTTCTGTCGTTCTGCAATCACTCTGAGTCCCGGTGCATATTTGTGCACGTGGTGAGGACGGATGCAGGAGATGGGGAAGTAATAAAGGTCTCCTCCTCGCCTCCTTCTCGTGTCAACGACAAAGCAATGGTGTTTCTGAAGTGCAGCCATGCCTCCAAACTCACCAGAGAAAACTTAGCTCAAGATGTAATATATTCAGGTATAGTTGGTGCAGCCTACATACCACTCTAGCTGTACAGGATTGTGTAGAACTACAAAATAAAGATGCATGGCAGTGCATGCACTGCACTAGAGAGTTTTGTTTTGTTGCAGAATGTTCAACCAGTCCGCTGGGACACCTTGATCTGGTGATGCAAGAGGTGTACTTGCCCCTCATGACACCATCTACAGGCAGTCACACCCACACCAACGATAAACTGCTTGACCTGCTCCACCGAATCTCTTCAAGCATGCAAGTCACTAATGGATACTCACAGGTATAACTGCCTCCTTATCCCCTTATCCAGCTACACTGTGTTTGCATATTATGTACAGTGAGTTCACTACCCTACCGTGCATACATTTTCTCTGCAGGGAAAGGTAGTGCTACCTCTTCCGTCGGTTACGACACTAGCACAGACAGCTTTCACAAGTCCAGACAGGCATTCTGTGGTTGTCCATGTGCTGGAGACGGCTGTGGTGACGTGGATGAAACAGGTGAAAATGGCACTCCACTGTGAGCCAACTGGAGCTATATCCAGGAAAGCAGGGAAATACGCTGGACCATTGGAGGAAATAAAAGTGAGTAAGAAAGACAGAGAACATTTCTACATTATGTTGTAAGCTAAAAACAGTAAATAAAAATAAAGAAGGTAGGGGGAAAAAAAGAGCCTCCGAGGAGGATCGAACTCCTGACCCCTGGTTTACGAGACCAGTGCTCTGCCACTGAGCTACGAAGGCGACTGGTTGACGTGGGCATGAATATGATCTACTAATTACTACTGTTCCACCCACTCACTCAGTTCTGGGAAGCCCGCCAGCAGAGGCTGGAGTCAGTCAGAGAACAACTCTCCTCCATCCCCATCCTCACAATCCTTCACAACCTGGAGCTCATGCACAGCACCTATGCCCAGGGCTTCTCCCACGCACAATACAACATAGCGCAGGCAGCTCAGGAGGCCGAGCACTGCCTTGGATTCCTGCGAACATGGAAGCCGTGGCTGGTTCGGCTGCACGATGCCCAGCACCCGAGCACCGTAGCAACATCTTTCCCTCCCGTAATGGCCGTGTTGCTGCTCATCTGGCAGCATTCTGGGTCAGCCTTTCTCTACACACATTCTATAGGTACAACCACTGAACTCCAACATATCGTGTCTGCAGGTACTATGGTCAAAAGCCAGCCTTACACAGACTGCTCACTCTGCTGGCCAATGAAGTGGTAACAAAGACCAGGGACATAGTTGGTTGCGATCTCCTAGGCAATCCGACGAAGGTATAATGCAATATTACGCTCAGTCTACACTGTTGTATTCGGTGAAACCCTACAGAGTCTATCTGATTTGAAGCTGGCTCTGCGTGTGTGTGCTGCATTCCGTGGGTGCTACCTTGACTACAAACAGCGAGCAGACACATGGCTAAAGACAGAGACACCAGCAGGACAAGTGACTGGAAGGTATATACAAATAAAGATGTATGGTGTTCAATGGTACTCACTAAGTCACTCACTGCCTCTGATAAACGTGTAGTGCTGTATCGACTGGAGGAAAAGGGAGTGTGCAGGAGACCCACTGTGGCTGGCCTCTGAGGAACTCCAAGGTGTTCCATGCCATGAATGTAATCATGGAGAGATGCAACGACCTCATGGAGCTAGTCCACACCATACGCGACTTCAGGTGGGTTATAGGGTGTAGTGCAGTAAATGAGTCACTATAGGTAGAGAAGCAAGAAGAAAGCTTTCATTTGAGAGCCAGTGAAAGTTCAAATGTGGTGGGAACACTTGTACAGCTGTAGGTGGAATTCGTCCTCTACTTAACAACTAACATAACCTATTTTTCATGTGTCACAATATTATTCTCACACAGTGAGCTGAGTTTAGTTGGTGAAGGAGGTCGAGGAATAACCACTACTGAGGTGGTGATAGGAGACGTCCATAGCAAGTTCACAGAAGCAGTTCGGGTCTTTTCATCAGGCAAACAGGTCAGACACCGCCCTATTGTATGGAACACACTGATCGAGCGTTATCTGTCCCCACCATGTACATACATACGTATAGTGGGAAACCTTCAAGAGAGAGAAACTGTAATTTGTGGGTGGAGACCAGAAGGGACTAAGATTTATCTGTCAAAATTCTTATTGCGACTGAATTACAAAAGTTTTCCCACCATTGGCAAGCAAAAAGAGCTCACCTACATAGTTATTAATTGAATTGCACAATTTTTGTGTATATATGTATGTATACAGTGCTGTCCTTACCATAATGTGTTGAGATTGTTACAGAATGGGATTCTCCTTGACTGCAGGATCTGCTGAGCGTGGGTGGAGAGGGTCATTTCGAGAGCCAGTTCTTTGCCTTTCGTCGCAAGGTTCAGGAGCTGGAGGGGCAGCTGGGCCGAGAGATAGGGGTGTGGCTCCAGAGAAGCCCCTCCCTCCAGGCCAAACTGAGGATCATGGAGCTTTTCCAGTGGTCCTCACGTAGGGACACCGTCAGGGTACGTTACATATGTACAGTGAAAAGGCCAACATAGCATGTCTTGCATGCAGGGACACAATAATGAACCACACAACTCATACAAATGCATGCAGTTATCGTTTATTCTCCGGACCAAAAATGCACCAAAGATCAACTTCAGTGTCACTGTCCCACAGGCCATCTTGTCCCCGCACCACGAGTCAGTGATGACTACCATTCTCTCCGACATGCAAGATGTCCTCCACATCCTCACATCGTCACAGCCTCCCCTCCTCCCCCACACACCCCCCACGGCCACCAGACTACTGTGGCTCCGTGGTCTCGAGGAGAGGACCAGTGGAGCAGTGGGTGTGTTGAGGTATGCTGCTCCTCAGCTCCTGGAGGGAGAGCTTGGCTGGAAACTTAGACAAACCTACTCTGAACTCACCGAGAGACTAAACAGGTTGATTTAACTTACTACAGTATAGTGGAAAGGTGGTAAAGGTTTCTGTGCTAAGCCATCCAAGTTCATGCATGTACGTACTGTGATGCTAAACCCACAAGTTAAAACCGTTGCCACTAAAATCTGTATCGTCCCTACCAATTTGCCTAGCAAGAGTAAGATATTTGCGAGAGTTGCAGTGACACGTTGGACATACGTACACACACACGCTATCTCTGTTCAGTTTCAGGGAGAGGAGGAGAGGAAGTGGGTGGATGGGGTCCCATCTGGCCTCAGTCAAAGACTCTCAGATATGGTCCTAGTAAGTCTGTACTGCTACACTCACTGATCAGTCTCCTACATATATATACACCGTAAAATACGCTATGGCTTAAAAGCAACTTGCGCGAAAAGAGGTTTTACCAATGTAGTTGGCTGGCATACGGCAAGCAAAAGGCTTTTCACGATATACGCATAAGTTCTGGACAGAATTTTGTCACACAAAAATGTTTTAGTCAGTATCTCAGAATTTCATGCTTTTTGAGCAGAGAAGGGGGCCAGATGGAGAACTAGCCGTCAACTTTGACCAGACTCTCCACCAAGTCCTGTGCGAGGCTCGCCACCTCTCGCACCCGCCACTCTCGCTGAGGATGCCCCCTGCAATCAAGGTCCTGACGAAGACCGTGAACCTGGAGGAGCTGCGAGACAGACGGGCGTCGCTGGAGCTGGTGCTGCAGGTCCACCGGGACACTCTGGCGGCAATGAGTGAGGAAGAGAGACTCCTGCTGCTAGGGAAACTGCAGCACATCCGAACGGTACACAACAATATGGTCTGGTCATAGCAACAGGCTACCATTCTTGACCATTTATTTCACACAAATTAACGGCCAAGTAACAATCATTCACGCTTTTTACACAAATTTTAAACATTTGTGTTTCAATACATTAATGCCGAATTTTATCATTCATGTTCCTTGTTTCTTGCTTTTGCGTATATATGAGACGCTACCCTCCTATGAGTCTTTTCTCTCTTCCTGTGTATGTGCTGTATGTACCATCTGCTCATTGACTTTTCACTCCCCCGCCCCCACACAGCTGTTGTCAGAGGGAGAAGAGAAGGTGAACTGGTTGAGTCCCCAGTTCCCTGACTTCCTGGCCAAGATCAAGACGGCCATCTGCACCGATCTCTGCTCCTCTCTCTCCGCCCTCCACGCCTTCTCCTCCAGCCTCAGTCAGGTCACCTCCTCCTGGTCGCAGGTGTCCGGACTGGACATATTCGCCCGAGACGGAGAGAACACACCTGAGGGACTCAGTAACAAACACTGGTGGGTGCAGCATTCAATGCAGTGTGTTCTGTGAAGGATGGAAAGGGGGAGGGTGCACACCCTTGGCCATTGGAAGTATCACTAATCTGGTGGTAGCATATCCACAAAAAACCAACTGCAAGTGGTGTTTGAGTCTTGTCCTCTCTTGTCAGTGCTGTGATTGAGCGACTGAACAGCCTCCTCCCCTCGTCCATGTCTCGTCTCCACTCACACCTGGCCTCGGTCCAGGCCGAGGTCCACGCCAGTCCGGAGTCTCCGGCCTGGGACCAGTTCCTGCAGGTAACGGAGCACCAGGTGACGGAGGGACTGGTCAGTATGATCCTCACTGCGGTCGGATCACTCCTACACAGAGCCCAGCTCTATGAACAGGTATGGTGTACACTGGCATTCGAAGGCTGATGCTTCACACTGTATAGGAGACTGTGTGTGTATCAATCCATTGGTGTGGGCGGTGATAGTAGTCGAAGTGTTGTCAATGTCCGTGCATACGCACATAGTACATGTACTAGTCTCACTGGCACATCGCATTGCATGAGACACGCACACATGAAGGGGCCCAACATGCATGTACACATACATACATACATTCTTGGTGCCTATTTCCAGTAACAAAGTTTCTTGAATATGTACTAATACAAAATATGTGTATTGAAAATGTGGTCTGTATTGTATGGCTTCCTTTGCTGGCTCCACACAGGGAGTGTCAATCCCTCCACTTATGGTTGTGAGGCTGGAGCTGGTGGGGAGTGTGGTGATGTTTTCTCCTCATCTCACTCCTCACTCCTCCCTCCCCTCCATCCCTGAGACCGTCGCGTCCTGGATGGACAGCTACGTGGCCACCACACGACACTTGCCCAGGATCCTCCCTGGCAGCAAGGTCAGAACTATAACGCAATTCCCAAGCTTCCTTAAACTGATTGGCAATGAGTGAGCCTACTGTATGTATGTACGTATACCCCTACCAAGTCATCTGAATTGCACACAACTACTGCAATTGTAATGGTCATGCAGCTACACTCATACATGTCTTAAGAGGAAGTTACAACAGTTTGAGAGTTGTTCATATAAGGTGGTGAAAATCTGGGAAAGTTTTACTCTCTCTATCTTGTGACAGTTGTATTCCTCCCTCAACTATTGGATATATGTATGTCCCAGGAGAACTACCAGGACTTGCTGAGCTCCGACCCCCGAGTGCGAGGAGCCCTGGGGAAGGTGACTGCCCACCTGGAGTCCAACTCTCGCCAGGCTCAGAACCTCCGCTCCAAGTTCTCCCAGTTCTCATTCCTCTGGGAGCACGACGTCCAGCAGACATTCCGTGCATTCCTCGCCGGCGAGGCCCCGCCCCATCCGAAGCGGCTGTCTCGACCAGAGACAGTGAGGTCGCGAGGGTCGGCCAGACCTCACAGCAGTGGCAGCAGTACTCGACCCAAGAGGTGTGCACGTGTGGTGTGTGTGTGTGCAACACAGGATAGTAAAGAAGGGGCATTTCAGCCCACTGAAAAGTTGCTTTTACGCGATTTCCACTAGTTTTGTGTATGTTACCTATAAGGATCTATAGATAGTAAGTTAAGTTTCTGAATTTACAGTGTGTATGTATTTACAAACATATTGGCGCAGTTCTCAGGTGTCGATAAGCCAGTACAGTCTGCCAGCTCCTGTTCCAGCCATGAACGTGGTCATGGGTGTATCAGACTGGGACTTCCTCTGCCCTACTGGCATGGAACCGGGCCCAGATGAAGACATCAGCAAGCGGCCGTCTCTTGAAGAGTTTGACGGAGAACTCGCCATATTTCAGGTGAGGCAAAAAGCAATTGTCCTCCAGCCTTTACCCTTTACCACTTCTCCTCTTTAGAAGAAACTTTATCGAGTCTAGCTAACAGCCATCTTTTTAATTACCTGTGAAATCAAAACTTTACCAAATAGAGTATCTCGTATCGTACCCTTAATTAACACAACTGCCTTTCTTGCATTCTCAAAATCTGTAGGCCTGCATGCAAGTGTGGTGAGAAGATTACAGAGGAAGCCATTTGTGCAATTATTGACCAGCAAAAATGCCTACCAACCTGTTTTATTTCCCAACTGAATTGTGAAAGTTTTCACCATCAGTAGTCTCCCACTGTCTGCCATGCAGGGTATCAGTGAGAGACTGAGTCGGATTGAAGATGATTGTAACGTGGGGTGGTTGACGGCCAACCAACGACCAATCAAAGACGTTCTCATGACTCTGGTCTCCAAATGGAAGGCAGTCTACGCTGGCTACCTAGAGAGACAGGTTGGTATGTAGTACACTCACAAGACAGGACGGTTGATTGGGGTTCAGATGCTGACCCCACTGGATCAGTTCCTCCACGAAGCAGGGTTAAGAAGGGGAGGTTCAAAGAGAGGAGCAAGGAGCCTGATGAGAAAGTTAGGGAGGGAAGGATATGCATCATGTGCTATGTACCCCATAGCTACAGGGAGGAGTTTCAAAACGTCATAACTGACGTTTGCCATTTCTGTTTCGACTGTCAGATGTCGCAGATGCTGACCTCACTGGATCAGTTCCTCCATGAAGTGGAGCCACATGTGGATAGAATGGGGCTAGAGGGAGAACACGGTATCTCTCTCATGGATCTCATGACCATCTTCAACAGAGTAAGTGTATACCTAATGTCACACTAGAATTTGAGGATAGGCCTACACCATCACGTCTGGTCCACTAAGTAACCAGCGTAATCTTATTAAGATGATGTCATCACATCGCAGAAGGCCCCCGATGCATTGCAAAGGCGCGGGAAATTTTGATAAAGAATCGCGTCACACTTATCCCCCTGAAACATGTGACATCGCATTGCATCACATTGCTGTCTCTTCTGATGCATATTTATGGCACCATTGATGCGTGTGTGTGTGTGTGTGGGTAGGTGAATGGACAGCAGGTGGAAATGGACAAGAAGTTTGGGACAGTCCACAGAGCCTTTGTGATGCTGGACAAGTTCTCCCATCCATTGCCTGAGGGACTCAGGGACCAGTTCAACACTGCACCACACAGGTCTCCCCTATATGTATACCTTTGATTACAGTCGAATCCCTCCAATTTGGACACCAATAGGACAGACAAAAGTGTCCACATTTGAGTTATAATTCCTGGCGCATGCTCCGTCCACCGACGGCCCACTGCTATTAACCTCGGTTAACTCTTAAGCTAGGTTCACAATATGGCGCATTGCCCCTGCTGCAAAGATAGAAATGGAGTCTGTCGTCGCGGTGCGGCGATGCTGCACGCGCGACGGGCCAATGCGACATATTGTTAACCTACTTCCACTTAATAGGGCAGTGAAAATATTATGTGGTGTTGAGACTCCCCGATTCATGTAACTAACCTATGAACAGGTGGTCGATCCTGAAGAGGAGAATCTCTCTGGGGAAGCAGAGGATGGGTCCCTCCGTACAGTCCCAGAGCGAGACCATCACTGCAGACCTGGCCGGGTTCGGACGGCGCTACTCCACGCTACACGAGAGGTTTGAAGGATCAGAGTGTCTGAGACGTGGCTGCAGACCCGAGGTGGCAAGAGAGGCGGCGAAGAAGGTGGAGAGGGAGTTGAGGGACCTGCAGTGTGAGGCTCTCAACCTCATCGAGCTGCAGGAACTCCTGGGCACCAGCATCTTCAACTTCTCCCTCCTCAATGAGTGAGACACTGCATGCTTTTGTATACTGTATGAAACATTCCTCTGTACTGATAAGGTTCCAAGAAGAGCTGTCAACCCTCTCAGAACTGTGGGAATTCTTTGAGTAAGTCCTCTGTACTGAGCTACATACATGTATAACATATGCACAATTGACTACCTTTTCCAAAGTTATTACCACATTAAGAGTCAATAGGCTGCAGCGATGCAACAAAAACAACACCCATGACCATAATACTCGAGCCACCAAAACCACACAGGGCACATAACGACCCCTTCTTTGAGCACAAAAACGTCACAAAACCGTAAGATACACAGGAAACACCAGTTTTGTAGCACCATACTGGTTAATTTCTCTATGCTACCAACAGATAAGAAACACTATTTACTTTCATTTCCGCACAAAATCTGTACCGTTATTTATCTTCTATCGCTCTTTCTGACAGGAGTGTTGACCCAGACCGGGAGCATTCGGTTTTCCCTCCCTTTTAGTCGGTCAGCGAGAAGTGAGTGGGGCGCGGTTGTGTTCCTTCTCCCTCTGGTTTTCAGTGTCAGGATGTGCGAAGACTTTTTGGTGAAGCCCAGAAGCAAGTTGAATACGAATCGGGCATCACTACCCCCTCCATCCCTCACATTTTCGTCACTGGGAAATCCTACTTACCACACCACCTAGACGTATTTTTTCTTCTTTAAGCAAACACTGCTCGTAAGCAGTAGCGTCTACGTCTGCTGCTGATCCCTTCTAGTGTTGATAACAAGGTGATTCGGCCCGCGTGAATAATGTACGGGGGGGGAGGAGAGGGAGCATTGCTAGTCCTCTTCTTCTTTGCCATCCATTCATATACGTACATGTACTGTACTACGTTAACAAAACCACGACCTTGCAGTTCTTCGTCAGCGTCCCCTTATGACTGCATCTGTCCCTCATACTTTTAATAGTAGCACACAAAAGCGACCCCAATCTCATACGGTGTAGAAGATACATCGATTCTCTAAATGAATATTTCATCAGGCTGATATTTGTAGTGCGTACTTTTGAACTCCTTCCTTACAATAGTCGTTTCACGGCCACAGCCACTTTTTTTTCTTCACACTCCTTTTTTTCAAATATATTAGCCTTTATAGTTTAGTCCGCACCATATTTTTCGCTTTTCCATTAGATTACCCGTCCTGCAAGGGTTGTACCAGTGCATCCATGACTTCAGATTCTCTCCTGCGATTCTGGCCTGTACAAACCAATGACGTCTTGTGGCACCAGTGATTTTAAATGTTCGTTGAAACGAATATGCGCGCTAGGATTTCCCCTTTCCCTATAGTACTATTGCTCACTTTGAGCCAGTTTTGTCGTCGCCCATCCACTCTCTTTTTTAATTCACACATCTGAATTATTGTGCAGTGACTGTTTATT